TGCAGGTGGGCTTAAGCGGCAGGCTAGACACCATGAGGGATTAGCTGGAAGGCAGGTACGAAGAAATCCCTCCCAGTGCTGCACAGGGAGATGGTGAGGACGGAGGCTGAGAGACCCGCACAGCAGGGTCAGGAGGTAGAGCAAAGCGTCTGACCCAAGTCTGAGAAGGGGGTTGGAGGGGAGGTGGCAAATGAAGAGATAATGGCAGAGAGCTGTCCAGAAATGGGGTTAGTCACGAATCTACACAGGAACCATGATAGATACGGAGCAGAATAAGTACAGAAACTGTAAACCTGGGAATGTTTTCACAAAACTGCAAAGACAGACACGCCCTCTGGGCTCCCACGGCCCCTGCACAGCCCGGGCCGCTCCGTGGTTACAGCCAGCTCCAGGGCTTCACGGTCTGGGGGACGTGAGGTCAGGGACTTGCCGGGTCCTCTCCAGATAGCTGCTTGTTCCCTCCCCCCAGGCACATCAGCCCTGCCAGCGGGGGTGCCCTGCACCACCGCCCAGTACTCCTGCCTTGCCAAGCCCTCTCCCACAGCCTCTCAGCCCTCAGCCTCCGGAGGCCCGGGCCCACGTACAGCACTGGTCCTGTGTGGTCCTGGCCAAGTCCCTTTCCCTCTCTGGGCCTTAGCTTTCTCCTCTTGAAGTTGGACCTAAGCTCCCTGCCCTGCCTGCGGGAAGGGCTGGGGCGCCGCAGGATAAGGCTCACCGTGGAGGGAAGCTTTGATTCTTTGGGGGTGGGGAGGAAGGAGGCTGATCCTGGCCTCCCTTGGAGTTTATCATTCCTCCTTCCTGCCGAGGTCAGGGCAAGCTGGGGAGGTCAGGGCAAGCTGGGGAGGTCAGGGCAAGCTGGGGCGAGGCTGTGAGAGGAATGTTCGGCCTGGCTGTCCTCGCAGTGCCTGGCCCCCCTCCTACCTCCCGCCGCAGGAGTAAGTGTAAGGGCCAGTGCGCAGGGTTCTGGGGGGACAGGGAGCTCCCGGCTCGCATCGGGAACTCGGCAAAGCTCATGCGTTCCTCTGCCTCCTTAGAGGACACACCTCCTAGTGCTTTTCTCAACATCAAAAGGGATCTTCCTGTGAGGCTCAGATGCTGCTCCCAGGCACGCGAGGGCTGCCCAAGTGTCCCTGCAGTTGTTACCTCGGGGTCCCCCACGTGGCGGAGGCATCGGGACCAAGAGCAGTGGTGAGCACCCGGGCCACCGATGTTCCTGCCCATGTACCATCCAGGCCCTCCTCTCTCCCTGCTCCTCTCTCTGTGCGATGATGGGTGTACCCCCAGCGGGTCCCGTAGTGCTGGGTGTCTGTCCGGGTGCCCAGCTGCCCCTGTCAGAGGCTGGGCACAGACTCAGCCAGGCCTCTCAGGGGTATCTTGAGGGCCGTGCCTGGGGGCGTAGGCACATGGCCGGCCGATGCCCAAGGGCCTCAGCCCCGAGCCCAGAGAGCTGGTCCGTGGCCACCGTAAGCTATCATCCCAGGAGTTCTGCTTTCCGTCAGCCGGGCTCCAGCTCCTGCCGTTTATTTATGGCTCTTGGCCACTGAGCATCCACAGCGGGCTGGCTTGGCTGCACCGGGGGCTTGCAGATGAGCAGGGAGGCCCAGGCTGCAGCCAGAGATGGGCCAGGGGCTGGGCAGGGCTTTGCGGCCAGGCGCCAGGACCCCGCGGCCCTGGGGGGACGCCCAAGACCCAGCCTTGTTCCTGTCTCTGGCATCATGCGGCTGTACCCAGACACGGCAGACCTGAGCAAGGCCTCTTACGGCCAACAGTTCACACTGGGAAATCCCTCCTGCGGAGTGGACGCTCCCAGCCCCTGAACAAAGGGCAAGGCCGGGCTAAGGAGCCCCGCCAGCCCCATCCAGCAGCAGCCCCCACCAGGTGCCGGGGCCGGGAGCCCCATCAGTTCTGGGGGTCGCTGGGGCTGCCTCACCCATCAGCAGAATCAGGCTTTCCTGGGCTGGGCCTGCCTTTCTCTGTCTCCCCCAGGCCGAATTGCTTAGGCCTGTTATTTGAAATAAAACAAAAATCAGGAGGTAGGAATAGTTCCCTAATCAACTTAAAATGGCCTGCCGGAAGAGCAGGACGGGGCACAGGGCTGCCCAGGGCGCCAGCCATTTGGGAACCAAGGGAAGACTTCAAATCGTCCCTTGAGTCTTGGACACATACTGGAGGCATGGCAGGTGTCCCCTCCCTGCCCCTGTAGTCTCAGCAGCATTGAGGGGCCAGCTCCCTGGACTTCATCTGTCCCTGGGGAGCATGGGGAGAGAGGAGGGGCAGAAATGCCAGGACCCTGAGTCCCTCTAGGCTGGGAAGGAGGGAGGAAGGGCCACAGGTGGCCCTCCCCACCCCCCGCGGACCTCCCTGTCCCGGGCAAGCCTGGTGTAGTACCGCTCAGCTGTGCATCCTCCAGGAGCCTGCGGGCCATTCAGAGCCTGTTTCCTAACCCGCCAACTAGGAGGAAGCTCATCCTTCCCTCCCAGGCCCAGGGTGGAGCCCTGGTGACCTGGGCTCTGTGCAGGGGGCACCACCAGCCCAGAAGGCTGTGGTTCTGTAGCCTGTGGCCTCCTGCCCTCGGCCCTCCCTGGACACCTGCAGGCTGGCTCTCTGCACAGACTGGCCGGACAGCTGGCTCCAGTTCTGTCAGATTCCCTTGCAGCTCCACCCCTCTCCACATGGACAAGACCAGCAAATTAAATACCAATTACGTCTCCGTGATCCATGGCTGGCTTTCCTGACCTGATGTAGATTTTTTTAAGTGAGAGAAGGAAATCAAAGACGCAGACTCCTGTCATTTCTAAAGTGCCTTCAGTATCCTGGGTGAGTTCCAGAGAGACGCTCCCATCCCCCACACCATTCCCATGCCTCCTCCAGGAAGCCCGGGCATATCAGCTTCCCCCCCTGGACTTTGTCCCCACCTCAGGCGGGTCTGCCCCCTCTCTGGGCTCTGAGTGCCCTTCATCTAGCAGGGGCCAGCCAGGGACAACGGGCTGGAGTCACAGCCCCTCTCTAGGTGCACAGTGCTCTGAGCATGTCATGTCACCACAAATGCCCAGGCTCACTGTCACCACCACCATCACCCTCACCGACACTGTCACCATCATGACTGTTCTCCTTCAGAACAGCCTTGAAGCTGGACCTGTCTGGATTCGAGCCCCAGCTCTGCTGAGTACTAGCTGTGTGCTTTGGGCAAGTCCCCGACTCCCGAGCCGGTCTCCCCACCTGCAGACCGGGGATGACAGTGGACGATAGGCAGGAAGGTGAATAGACGGCCCAGGCAGTCCAGCCGCACAGCAGGGGCTCAGCAAATGGGGTGGGTTTCAGGGGCATCAGCAGCCTGGCCCCTACTTGCCAGTGCAGCACACTCTTGATCCTTCAGCTTTAAGTAGACTTTTAAGAAGATTCACAATTGTTGAAATAAGAGAAATAAAATGTAAGAGCCCAAAAGCTAACACTAGGGACAATAACCAGCCTTTACAACAGCACATCTTTAATACATGGTGTTGAGTTCAGGGGATACCTGTAGTGATTTCCATACCATTCCCCACACCATGCGCACAAGTCAATTCCCAGTGGACTGAGAACCAAAAAAAATGAGATAAAACAATAAAGCTTCTGAAGACAACATACGGGAATATCTTCATTGCTTTGGATCATGCCAAGACATCTGACCGACACAAAAAGCGCCACCCACAAAGGAAATGATTGGTCAATCAGGCTACACTCAAATTAAGAATTTCTGTTCATTGAGAGGGAAAGGTTGCCCACAGAGTGGGAAAGCGCATTTGCAATATGTATTTATGGCAAAGGTCTGTGTCTAGAGTATATAGGGAAGTCGGACAAGTCAGTGTGACAAAGAGAATTGAAAAACGAACAGAGGATCTGGAAATGGTCACTAAACAGGGGAGATGCACAAGGGCATTAGTCATTGAGGGAATCCGTGTAGCGTTCTACCCCCGGCAGGCTTTGCACGAGGAAACCCACACCCTGCCGGTCGGTGTGCAAGTGGTTACAGCCTCTTGGGGAAAGGTTTTGGCAATATCTACCAAAGGCAGTACCCCATGACCTATAGCAGCTGCACTCCAGGAGCACCCGGCAGAAAGCACGGGTCCCCCCTGCATCTGGTACTGGACCGCTCCCGGCGGCGGCCTTCATGGTAACCCAGCCCAGAAACAGCCCAGAAGTCTCTTGAGAGAAGGGGTGTGAAAATGTGAATTATGGTGTCTTCATACCACGGGACAGGCATGGCACTGAGAAGGAGCAAACCACGAGGATCCGCAGAGCTCACGGGCGTAGCGCTGAGCTAGGACGGCCAGACACGGCGGGCCAAGCAGGCAGAGCGGCACAAGCTGGAGAAGACCTCGTGGTGGGGAGGGCCTGCGAGGGGCCCAAGCGCTTCCTGGTGCTGGGGAGATGGGGGCGTCGTTTGTGAAAGTTCATCCTACTCTGGGTATCTTTGCAGTCATAGAATACTTTCATCCAAAACTTACTTGAAAAAGTAACAAACAGAGATGAGGCTTGGAACCTCAACCCCCCTTTTGAGAGAAATCTTCTGCATCCGTGGATGTCTTGTTGCCCTTGTCTAGCTCGGATTAACACATAGTCTACAGGCACACACCTGATCATCTACATTTGCCCTCTTACAGCACTAAATTGTGTTTTCTACCTTTATCTTGCATCTACCTACCACTTCAGCATTTTATTAAAAAAAATAATAATAATAAGGGAGAAATGTGGGATTCACATATAAATCAAGTATAAAAATCAAACGAATAATCATATCTGACTTGATTGTTTATAGTTCATGATGCGTGATCAAAACGAAAGTTTCTGTGATGACTGCCCTTGTACTGCTCACCGTGTAAGAACTTGTTCGTTATGCTTCAGAAGATTGGAGACTGATGAGAATTAGGCTTGGGGTGGATTAATGATTGCGCATTGAGATCCCTATACAGAATTTTATTGTTGTTAACAACCATTTGATCAGTAAATATGAGATGCCCTCTCAAAAAAAAAAAATAACAGTAATCATTTAAAAGCCACATGGCTGATAGCCTTTTCTTAATCACATCTTCACCTGGCTTTAGGGTACATGTCAAACCATAGGTGATGTTTCCAGATCATCTCCACTGAACTGGAAAATTCTATAGGCCACTGAGCTTGCCCTGTAGCCTGTGATCGTCAATTTTATGTCCCCCTGGCGGGGCAGTAGTCCCCAGATAGTCACACGCTCTCCCAGGCGCCGCTGTGGAAGGGTTCTGTCGATGCGGTTGCTGTCAGTGATCGGCTGCCTTTCTGGGAAGGAGACTGTCCTTGGTAATGCGGGCGGGCTCGCTTCTGTAACTGGAAGGTCTTAGAGCCAAACCGAGGTTTCCCCGGGGAAGAAGAAACTCCACCGGCGGGCAGCAGCGTCCTCTCCTGCCTCTGTTTCCTGCTCCCCCTTGCTGGCCGCTTGCCCTACACGTCCAGACCTGACTGGTACAGCGCCTGTCTGGACATTCAGGTCAAATCTGCTCTCAGAGGCTGGGGTTGCTCCCCCAGGAGGCTGCCCGCAGTGTGGCCCCAGGTGCTGTGTCCCCGACACATCGCCCTCCCAACACAGGCATGTTCCTGGCCTGCACAGTCCTAAGCCTCTCTTTGGTGGCATTTGGCTTTGGGGAGGGTGTCTTCTAGTTCAGCCACCGCATGCAGATATGGCTAATGGTTTGCATGATGGATTCTATCCTCAGCCTGATAATAAAATGAAGCGGTAACAGTCATGCTGGTAGAGCCAGATGGCTGGGAGGCTGTCCTGGGTCCCCACCTGGCAGCTGCGTGGCTGTGAGCATGTCTCTTCATACCAGTGGGCTTGCTTCCTCATCTGGAAACCAGGGCAGAAAAGCCCACCTCAAACACTCATTGTAACGAGCAAATGAGTGTGAAAACAGGTGCTTGAAACAATGCATGGCACATAGGAAGGAAGGCTTTGCTAAGTGTTAGCTACAACTGTGATTATTTTGATGTCAGTATAATGAAGTGTTTGGGGAAAAGCCAGTGTCAGTGACTGAGCTGTTTGCACCACAATTCTTCCTTGTGGCTTGGTCTTTACATCAGAATTGTGATGGTTGTCCATGAGACAAATTCATGCTAAACACGATAGTGTTAAGAAATGTCATGTTGGCAAATCATTAGAAATCAGAGAACGCACTTTTATAAGAATTAACAGCGTCAGGAAGAAAAAAAAGATCACTCCTCTGATTTCCCAGTTTCCCATGGGAGCCTTTTACGGCTTGGATCCGTGGGCGGTTCCAGCGCACCAAAAAGAGACATTGCTCCTGGTGGCAATTTAGTTCCCTTCATAACTCCCTTTACTTCTCTGCGAGGAGCATACTGTTGACCCTTAAGAGGTCTCTGTGCTGAACGGAAAGGGTGGAAAGACATTTGTGCACAACCTCTGTTATTGCAGGGACGCTGCCCAGGCATTTGGTGCTTCCTCGAAACTGATGTCAAAGTGGCTTTTCCTCTCTCTGCCAAGGCAGTGGGGCAGTCGATAAGCACATGTGCACACACACACACACACACACACACCATCTCTTTCCTGAGCTTGGATTCTCAGCAACAGTGCAAAGAGGCCCTCCGCCTTCACATACACGCCGCGTGGAGGCCAGAGCTGAGGCATCAGTGGTCTGTCCCAATGTCAAAAATGCCCACTGGTCCCCTTGCATGGGTCCCCTTGCCTTTCCACGTAGTGTCCAGCTGATGCCCTGTGACCTCTAACCTTGTCTTCTGATTGAGGAATTCTGCCAACTGCATGTAGTCCTTTCTGAACATAGTATCTGACAATCTGTCTTGGGCAAAGTACTTGCATCCCAGCGCTGCCATATTGAGATACCGCAGGCTAGGGGCATAAACAACAGGAATTCATTGTCTCACAGTCTGGAGGCCAGAAGTCTGAGACCCAGGTGTGGGCAGGGCTGGTTTCTTCTGAGACTTCTCCCGGGGTCTTTGTGTGTGTCTGCGTCCTAATCTTGTAAGGTCTCCGGTCATATGGATTAGGCCCCCTGCCAATGACCTCATTTTACCTTAATTACGTCTTCATAAGGGCCCTGCCTCCAGATACAATCACATTCTGAGGTACTAGGGGTTAGGACTTCAAATTCTGAATCTGGTGTGGGGAGTACAATTCAGCAGCCTAAAGGCAGGTTCTCCCGCCTTCTCAGCAACCGTGTGAGCTGTTTCTCTTCTCTTGCTAGAAGGAAGGGAGTGTTGAATGGTGTCTACCATTTGGACATCTTCTCTGCCTTTAGTGTCAAAATTAATCAGTCTTGTGCTGGACAGAATTAGCTTTTGCTTGTTTCAGAAATAACCCTATGGGTTTACCTGGAGAAGTCATGGTGCCATTTTTGAAGACAAGCCCCTGACACTCCCAAGGGAACTGGGAGCCAGGCTGGGGGTGCCAATAAAACCAATGTCCTCTCCTGCCTGTCACCCTTCCTACTTGCCCTTTCCTCTTCCAGCTCTTTGTGCAGCACTGCACCTGTGGAGTGGCTGGCCCACAGCGTGCAGACCCACTCCACATCTGTGTTACTCTCTTGGTGCTATATTTCTGTCTACAACATTATTCAGAGTTGGAGAATTTACATGTCTCCTTTTAACCCCACGTTCATGCTTGAGTGAATCGCTTTGAGCAATGTATTACAGCTCTGGGGATATAATGCAATACCATAGTAACAAAGAAATACAAATTTAACGTATGTAAACTCTAACAGGCAAATGATATGAAAATATATCGGTCAAGGTGAACTGGCTAGGATGGGCCTTATTGCTCATATGCAACCTTTGGAGGTAGTGATTACTAAGAATTTCTGTGAATCATCATCATCCACCTTACATCACACACAGTGAAGTTTATGCCACAAGTAGTTTTGTTGCCTGTTTCTCTTTCCCCATGCAAACTCCCCAGGCGATAGCCAACTAGGGATCTGCCCAGACCCAACTTAGAGAAACTCTGCGCTCCGGCAGGAGGAAAAATCCAGTGTGGTCTCTGCCTTCAGGGCCTTTCGATCTTGCAAGAAGATGCTCAGCACCCTAAGCAAGAGACTGTAGAGAGGAAGCCGTGGTGCAATGGGCAACTGCAGACCTGGGTTGGCCCCAGCTCCCGTTTTCCTGCTGTATCGTCCCATAGTCTCTCCGCGCCTTGCGGTCTCCAAGTCTTCATCTGTGAGTTGAGAGCGAGATTATTTGCAGGGGTTCAGAGATGACACACGCCAAGTCCCTGACACAGACTAAGTGTTCAGGCAACGCGCCCCCTCCCTGTGGAGAGCACCTGCCATTCTGCGGCCCTGAGCACTGCCCCTTCCCCCAGGAACAGCCCCACCCCACCGTGTGGTTCCCACAGGGTCACCTGTTCTTGTCGGACACCACCCTCAGGCTGCTCTTGATTGGTCGGGGAGCAGGTCCTGACTGGAGCAAAGCGAATCAGAGCCCTTTCCTGGGATTCTTCTGGCTGGAGCCGCTAGCACTGGTGCGGGGAAGCCGCCTGCGGTGTCAGGAGTTTGGCGGGCTTGCTCCTCCCTGGGGTTGGGAGCACCTATGGGGAAAGAATGGAGGGGGCAGTGCGGGGCGGGGCTCCTGCTGCACTGGTCCTAAGGTCCCCGTGTCCCTGTCCTCTCTGCACTGCCTCTGCTGCCCAGCCCTCCCACGGGGTCTGGCAGTGCCGCAGGGCAGCCTCTGCCCTCACTCACCCTCCTGGAGGCCTCCCTGCTGCCATCAACACAACAAAAGCTTTGGTGAATGGCTATTTTCAGAGGCGAGAGGCCACCTGCAGTTTCCCCAACCCCCCCTACTCTTTCTCTAACGCTTGCAACCCCATGGTGCTGCCTCCCCGTCCCAAGCCCCTTCCGCCCGCACCACCTCCACTACCTCCTCTTTCTGGGTCCGGGTGCAGCAATTCAGCTGCACAAAAGTATGGAAGCACGGCCCCAAGGTCCCCACGGTGACAGCATGTGGTTCACCAAACAGGAACCTGCAGGAACGGGGGTACTCCACCCAGGGAAGCTGAGCAGAGCCGCTGCCCGCACCCGGATGTCTCTGACCCGAGGCGACCCTGGGGTACGCTCTCTGCAGGCTGGGCTGGGCTGGGGAGGACACGCGGCCGAGGGGCCCACCCTCGCAGCGCCGTCTCCAGGCGGCCTCGAGGGACCAGCCTCGAGGGACCAGGGCACTCGTTCCTGTCAGTCAGTGCAGTCGGGCTTACTCCCCCTCGGGCCTGAGCCCAGATGCTGGTGGCCTGGGCCCTCCCCTGGCTCCTGAACGGTGAGTCTCACTCAGGGTGAGGGCCTTTAGGTAACTAACGCCCGGCACTGCACAACGAATGGAACCAGTCAACCTTGAATAATGACCAAACCAAGTCAGCCTGCCGGGCTCCCAGCCCTGAGATGCTCTTTTGTCCCTGAATCTGTCTCCCACCTGCCAGGGCCCTTGAGGATGCCCCATGGGTGGGGACTCAGGTGTCTATGAGATGTCTGACAGGTGGGACGTGTCTCCAGGCCTGAGCCTGCCGGCTTCAGGGCCACCCAGATGGCGACCCTGAAACGGGGTTCTGTTCTCACACAGCAGCCAGCTTAAATTAGCCTCACAGGGGAAAGTAGGAGTTGGATCTCTAATAAAATCCAGTTCCCCAAGGACGCTGATCTGCTGCCCACTAGCTGCTTCCTGCGAGGCCCGATTCTCCAAGCTGACCCCGGTCCCCAGTCACCACGTGGGGCTCCCTCAGAAGTTCCTCTGGTCTGAGAGAAATTCATGAATCCCAGCAACTCTCTGCCCACACCGGTGGTCCATGTCGAGGGCTCCTGGCCATTGGGCCCAGGGACAGGCCTTTGTGACTCTGAGTCCCTAATGACCCCTAGTCCTGCCTGGTGTCTGTCACTCATGCTCCTCTGAGCCCTGTCACGGGGGTACATTTCCACGGCTCGGTCCTGATGGCAGTGAGACAGGGACTGTGGGTTTAGTCAGAGTAGGGTGAGGGCCTCCGGAGAAAAAGCAGAGCAAGATAATTACAGTCAGAACAATGTAGCAATGTGCAAAGAAGTCCCTAATGAAATTCTGTGATAAGCATTGCAAAGTCAGAGTCACACTAATTCTCTAGGGTGAAGATACCAGACTAGGAATATAGACATTCTTCAGTGAGATCAGTTAAAACTCAAAAGGCCAGCAGCAACTTAGCCTGGAATGTCTGAGTGTTCTGCAGATAAAGTGTCTCAGCATAACCAGTGACTTCACTGTAAAATTTAACTTAGCCTGCTAAAAGGCCCAGCTTATTTTAACCGTACCTATGTGCTGTATTTCCTTCTCGGATCCTAACCAAGTAATCTGCAACCTAGGAAAAAGACTAATTTAGTAAGCAAGCCCAACTATAAACAGCCCAAGAAGTTAAGAAGTAAGATTCTTAACTTACTTCAGCCAACAGGGAACATCCCAGCCCTCCTGGGGGCAGGGGAGGCGGCCCTAACTGACGTGCTCCCAGAGGGAAACTGCTGTCTTGAGGAAGAATCAGAGCTGAAAATCTCCTGTTACTCATCAAGAATGAGCATTCTGGGACCACTCAACAAGTCTGCACCCCTAACCCTTTACCCTCATTCCTGAAAACCCCCAACCACGCATAAAACCCCTAGACAACGAGCCAACCACGGACTCTGTTGTGCCCTCCTGGCGTGAGTCGGGAGCTCTGTCCTCTCACTTTATCTCTGAATAAAAGCCTGTACCCCGCTCTCCTACCCTGCGTGTTTGTGAAGCTCATTCGTCGGCTTCGTGAACAAGAACCCCGGCGTCAGCGGCTCTGAGGCCGCCCTTCCTGGTGCTCTGCTGCCTGCACATCATTTTGCCTCAGACCCACCTGCGGCCCAGCCCGAGGCCGCCACTACCTGAGCCCAGGTGTCTCCTCCCACACCGACGCACAGCTGTGCCCTCTCTCACCTCCCTCCACAGGCCGCTGTCTGCTCTCGGATCCCTCGGCTCCAGCCCCCCGGGGGCCTCTGAGGGTCACTTAGGGATGATCCCAAGTCCCTCTCCCGCATTCCATGTCCCGCCCCTGTAATCTGACCCAGCCGTGAAGCTGTTTAGCTAAGAGTGGCCACAGGAAAAAAACAGAAAAACCCTGGAGACCTGGGTTCCAGTCTTGACCCTGGAGAAGCCCTTTCTTTAGATTCAATTTCCTTTTGTGAAACAAGAGGGGGGTTCCCTCTGGGTCCCAACAGAAGGTAGAGGGTGAACCTGGATAAGGGGGAGGCTTTGAGGCCTCTGTTGTCTTGTTTCAGGCCACATCACACCCCAAACACCATCACCCCAGATGTGGGTTCACCCAGGTGGGCCAGGGCGCTGCAGAGTGTGGAGGAGCTGCGGGTGGAGGCTCCGGGCACAAAGCCCGTGGCTCGGAGCCCACGAGGCTCAGCCCTGTGCCTGGGAGACGGCCAGGGGCTGGGGAGGCCTTGAGGCTTCTGACCGGGTCAAGGAGAAAATCTGGGCATGGCGCGTGCAGGCGTCATCCGCGTGACTGGGAGCCAGTCCTTCCATATCTCTGAGCCTCAGTTTCCTCTTCTATTAAGTGGAGATATTAACACTGGCTCTTCAGAATGACTGAGGTGAAACAAGATGCTGCACGTACAGCACTTGGCACCCAGGGCAGAGGCTGTACCCGGCACCTGCTCATCCACTCATGTCCTTCGTCATATCTCAGAAACGTCCCTGGATTATGTCTTTCAGTATTTCCCTCCCTCCAGCTTTTCTGTCCTCTTTCCAAACCCCACTGTCCTGCCAATGGGTTTCAGCCCCAGGCAAGTTCACTATGGATTCAATGAGACCAAAGAAATGACAGTAGAACTTTCTTGGGGTGAAAGGGTTATACCCAACCTTATTCCCAGGGTGGCAGGTCAGTCACTAGAATCCTGTCCACTCAGAGTGAGTCTGCACACAGCAAGCTAGTCTCTGCCTCTGGGCCTCTCTGCCCACACAGCCATCTCAGTCTGTCCTCAGCGCTGCCACCACTCCAGCCTCTGCTCTGCTCTCCTGCAGCCTTGCAGCCCTGCCACCCTGTTGCACAGAGCACTGGGCGGGGCTCTTTATAGAGAGTCAATGACGACGCATTGCCCACACGTGTGTAGTGAGCGAGCCAACCAGGGACGGATGAGAACCTGTCCACAGGAACTTTCACTTTATCCACACCCACTTATTCAGAGGTTACACCCCTTGCACTGGTTCTATGATGTCCTTAATTTTTATCTCCTACTTTCCTGACTCTTTGCTCTGCTTTCTGGAAGATTCAGTCACCTTCTACCCTTTCGTTGGGCTTGACTTGACTCTGTGCTGCTCTACGTCCGATTTCCAAGAGCTCTGTCTTGTTCTGCAGCGTTTCACTTTAGGACTCCAGTGCTTAACAGGTGCATTTACCTTTTCTCATCTCTCTGAGGATTCTCGTTATGTATTAGAATATATATTTACATATTATTACAACATTGTTTTGTCTCTATGATCTCTTGCCTCTAAGTTGCTCTGTTTATGGTTGTTTTCTTGGTGTTTACTTTTCATACTACGTACTTTCCTCGAATGTCTGGTGGTCCTTCGTTGTCTGCTCATATTTAAGAGAGAGGCACTGTCAAGCTTGGCATCGGGCCGGTGGGCACACACGAAGGTCCAGTATGCGCAGAGACAAGTGTTACTTCTGTTTGGGGCCCATCTGCCCTGGCCACGGCATAATGTTCATCCGAATGACTGCAAGGTGCTCGGACTCTGTAAATCTAAATGTCATAAAAACTAAAAGAAAGTGCCATCCTCCAAGGCCACATGGACTATAGCCTTTCGTAAAGCAGCTGGTAAAGAGCTTACAGTGGATAATTCATTTGAATTTGGAAAACATAGAAATGAACCTGTCAAATATGAGCGAGAGCTCTGGAATAAAACTATTGATGCGACGAAGAGGGTTGAAGAGATCAAAAAGAAATGCTGACCTACATTTATAACAAGCAGGTTGAAGAACGTAGAGAACCACAAGAAGTTCAGGACATCAAAGAAGCAAAATAGCCATCTCATCCGGGCTCCTCTGGCGGCAAACACATGGTCTCCCCTAGGCATGGCCCCAGGCCCTCTGTGCCCGCTTGGAGCGTGGTCCCCAGGGAGGCCTGCACCTACGCCCCATGGTGTGTGGTGTAGACAAGGGCACGGCCAACCAGGTGACCGGAAGGTCAGAGGATGGGAGAGGAACCAGCGCCTCAGGAGACGGTCCGTCTGCTGCAGGGGGCAAGGCAGGGACCGGGGAAGGGAAAGGGCCGGCCGGGTGCTGGGGCCAGCCAGGCCCCCAGCACCTTGACCCTCGCTGCCTCAGGGGTGTAGTCAGGGAGGGGGACCAAGGACAGAGGGAGGGAGACCAGGCAGCAGCAACCTGTTTGCAAAGCGAGCTGTGGCCGCAGACCCAGGTCCATCCGTCTGTGCCAGGCCCACGGCTGGCATCCCTGCCACCAGGCTCTTGTTATATGTGAGACGAATGACCTGCACAAGCAGGGTAAGAACTACAAATAGAGGAAAATGGATGGGGCTGAAGGGGGAGTGAGTGAGTGTGTCTTTGTAAATGGATCACACAACAAAGTGCAAACAACCGTATCTGAGCCTTGTCACCACGGAGAGCAGGGCAGTTTTCTGAGTGTGGGAGGAAGGTCAGCGACCCCACATGCCACGTGCAGGGGTGCAGCTCGGGCAGGGCTGGGTCCTCAGTGTCTGAGCCCTGTAGGTCCCAGTCACCTGAGTACCGGTGGCAGGTCCACACCCCGATGGTGGGGTGCCCAAGTCCTGGTCTTGTCCCACTGCCACCACCTGCCCCTCATCCTTAGCAACTGGGCCCCTTGGGCCCTCCGGGGGGCATTGGAAGCAGGGTGTGGACAAGGAAAGGGCCGTGAACAAACCAGAATAGGTGCTGGGGAAGGATGGCTGCAAACGTGCCCAAAACACATTCGAGGGGTCAGTGAGCAGGGCGGCCTGTCCGGGGTTCGAGCCCCTGCACCACTGTCAGCCACCTCTGGCTTCGGGCCTCCGCACTGGGAGAACCAGTGAAGCAGGCGGACCAACAGCCCTGCCGGGACCCGAGTGCTTGTCTTCCAGTGGGTGGGTGGCGGATGGATGGCGGGGAGGACAGCGAGCCTTAAGCAGGAGGGAGGGAGTGCGGGGCGGGCCACACATCCCGGGAAAAGGCAGTAGAGTAGTCCTGGGGATCAGGAGTAGCGAGGGGGTGGGCTGTGGTTTGAAGAAGTGAGGTCAGGGTCATGGAGAAGGTGACTTTTGAGCAAAGATGTGCACTGGGTGACAGAGAGTGAAAGGAGACGTCAGGGAGGCTGCAGCCCAGAGCCTGAGACCACTGCCAAGGCCTTGCCAGGTGCTCGGGGACAGGCCCTGGAAGGTTCTGGGCGGAAGCGACCTGCCCTGACAGAGGAAAGGGGCCGTGAAGAGGCTCCGCGGCCGCAGAGCATCAGTCTTTAGGGGCACCACTCCTGAAATGGCGCCGCAGGGTTTGTGGGAGGGCCGCATTCCATGGCCCAGTTTTCAGGCTGAGCGTCTAGGAGGGCCATAAGGATATGGCGGGCGGAGCAGGCACTGCTCAGGGCCTGAGAGCTGCGAGCCAGAGGAGGGCGTGGGGGTCCCTCCAGGTCAGGTCTCGGGTTCCGGAAGACCAGCGCATCCTGCTGTCCCACATCCGTGGCTCCTCATCCCCGAGGCTGCTGCTGCTGGGTTAGGTCTCACTGGAGCGTCGTCTCCCACGCAGCATCTGCACCTCTATTTACATCTCTACCTGCGTTCCCAACAGCTGCGCTAGGCGATCAAAGCGCTGCATGTCCAAGGGCAACCTGTTCAGGTAGGAGGGCATCTGTCTGAGCCCTTCCCCCTCCCCTTCTGCGTCCCAACTCCTCAGAAACTCCATCTGGCCCTTACCAGCTTTGCTCCTACAACAAAAGCACAATAAACACCTTTTTCAAAGCACCACTGTTCAACCCTTCAGCGCAGGCTTGGCTGGTTTCCACCAGGTCCCTGGATGTCATATCACTGTGTTCTTAATCAAAAGATCCAAACTGTGTTTCGTTACAATTATTAACTAACATCTTTACTATATGAAGTACTCCTGCAAATTGATTATAAAACACCAAGCCCAAGGAAGGATAAATGGACCAGGAACACAGGCTATAGCCACACACACACACTAACATGCATGTGTGTGCCCTGGGAGGGGAGCCTGGCGGGGCAGGCCAGCACCTGCCCTGCGGCTGAGTGAGCCAGTCTGCACGGTGAGGCACTGAGGTCAGTGTCCTCTCAGAAAAGGGGTCCTAGCAAGCCCTCAGGCTGGGCTGCGGACACCCTTCCAAGTGAGGAAGGTCAATGATTGGAAAAGCACAGCCACATGCCGAGTGAGAGTGCTCAACTTTTGGTAGAGTGTCACTCACCCCCTCTGTAAAATGGGAATATGACCTGCTCAGAGGGTTTCCAGGAGATGGAATGAGCCCAGGCCCCAGCCTGGAGCAGGGCTGACCCAGTGTGGGAATTTGCTACTGACACTGTTATGGACTGAATTGTCCCCTCCTAAAACTTGTTTGTTGAAACCCCCAAACCTAGCATCAAAGTATTTGGAGATGGGACCTTAAAGTAGGTAATAAAGGTTAAATGGGGTCATAAGGGTGGGGCCCAGATCCCACAGCACTGGTGCCCTTGTAACAAGAGGAAGAGATGCCAGGGGACTCGGACCCTCTTGAGGACACGGAAGAGAAGGTGGCCATGTGCACACCAAGAGCTGCCCCGCTGGCACCGTGGCCTTGGACTTCTGGCCTCCACAGGGAGACAGTGCCTTCCTTCTGTTGTGTGGGCCTCCCAGTCTCTGGCCCCTTGTTCTGTGGCCCCTGGGCTCCAGAGACACCGCTCTGCATACCCTCACTTTCAGGGAGGACACGCTACCCTGCGCCCTTCCTGGGGACAACGCCTCAGTTAATGACAACTGCTCTCAGATGCTAAGAAGAGATTGGACTGTAGTTAAATTGCAATTCAAAGGAACGCCAATTAAACCACCAGCCTTGATTTGATTTACATGACACATAAAAAGCTTTTTACAAAAAGTGGGCCACACAATCTGGTACAACTGTTTATTATACTTAGACTCTACAAATTCAAGCTTTTAAGAAAAATTCACAAAATATTAGCTGAAACCATGTTTCTGGATCATCAAATTCCAAATGTATTTAACTGTGCTAAATAATATATCCTACTGCTGTCTAAAACACAGCCAAATTATTTTTTATTCATTTACACACATTCTGTAATTTTTTTGAAAACCAAGATTCAGATAAAAAATGCCAACACTATTACTCAATTACCACTACTATTTCCCCATGCACTGAAATATTTTCTGTGGGTGTATCTTAACCTTATTCATTTTTAATTCTGTACACTATATTGATTTATAAACTCATCTTACATTTCTCATAAATTCAAACAGCAACACCTTGTCAAAAGATTAATTCCCTTGGCAATGAAGAAGCGTAGATTTGTTAAAAGCACTCACTGAAAGTTTTTTTAAATTTATGATCACACAAAATAACTTACAAAGGGACAGACAGCTTTAAGCATTATTTTGAAATCACCTTAATACCTGAAAAACAGAAACGAAGCAACTTGTCAAATTAGCCATCAGTCATGTTTTAGTCTTTTGTTTTTATTCTTTGCTCCCTTTTCAATGAAATGTGCATTGGGAATTTTGTTTCTCCAGGCCCACCCAGCAGCAGCTGACTTTGGTAGCCCTCAGCCAAGAGACACACAGCACAGAGACCTGCACACAGGGCACTCTGCCTGGAGGTGGGGGTGGAGCCTGTGTCCCGGTTTAGGGGACCCTGGGCTGCTGGAACTGAAGATTTCAGGCAAATAAAGCAGGGATTCGCATGGGTGTGCAGGAAGGATGGCGTGCACAGGAAGTGACGCAAAACAGAAATTAGAGTACAGCTTCCACTAAGTCAAAAACAAGAATTTCTCAAAAGAATTATTAGAAATCAGGAATGCATATATACTATGTGAAAAAGTAGCAAGACAATCCACAAGGCTGGCTGGTTTCCGCTGCTGTCTGTGGTCACATCTCCAGGAGACAGAGCGCCATGTCAGTATCACGACCCGTAGCGGTCCTGGGGAGAGAGAACCCGCACGCTGAGCAGCAACTCCTCCCCGCCAGGCCCACTGCGTGCTCAGCGTCACCCAGACTGACATGACACCAACACCAGGCACCGCTGTCCGCCATGTGGTGCAAACACACCCCTGGCCATGTACAGGGCCTGCAGCAGATGGCCGTGGGTTCCTGAGGCGCATCTGGCATCTGGCCTCCGTGGCCCAGGCTCCCCGGCTCTGGCAGGGGCTGTGAGGCAGGGAGCAAAGCATCTGGGCACATGGGACAGTGGTGGCCCCCTGGAGGCACGTGTGACAGAAGGAGGAACGTATTTAGAGTCTGAACCCTGAAACCCTTGTTGGGCTGAGGGATCTTGCTGAAGCAACTTAACCTCTCTGTGCCTCCATTTCTTCACCTATAAAATGGGGACTTGAAAGGGGTTAAACTACAAAACAGGGATGGTCGTCTGTAAGTATGCATGTCAGTGACTTGCACGGACTGAGGTGGGCTCAGCTGACCGAAGGGACAGGAAGGAGCCCTGTGAATTCTAACCAAGATTATGTATCAATAGCTATACAAATGGCAGGAGCCTCAGGGCTGAGGGCTTCTCCACAGTGGGGGCACCCCCATGCCTCCCCCACCGGGAACCCCTCTAGAGGCCCCAGAGCCCAGGTAGATCAAGTCCTACTCCCTAGGCCATTCCTAAATGCACACTAAAATAACAATGTGAACAAGGAAGTTTGCAAAATAAGCCTTACATCAGAGATGGCCTTAAATTGACCCGTTAAACAACACAGGTTTCAATTACGTAGGTCCACTTATATGCAGATTTCCAATAAATATATTGGAAAAAATTTTGAATTTGAAAAAAACATTTTCTTTTCTCTAGCTTACTTTATTATAAGAATACAGTATATATGCACGTTTAACATACAATATGTGTGCTAACTGACTATGTTATCAGTAATGCTTCTGGTCAACAGTAGGCTTGTAATAGTTAAGGTTCGGGAGCCAAAGTCCTATGTGGATTTTCTGCGGCGTGGGGGCCGGCCTGCTTCGCCCTGCGCTGTTCCAGGGCCAACTGCATACAAGGCTGTTCTATTATTGCCTTATTGAAAAGACTGAAATATAATCTAGATATTCAGCTGGGGAGTAGTTAAGTAAATTATATATACTTCTATTCAACACAGTGTAGTCTCTCAAGAATTTGTAATTATATGAAGATGCTCTTAAAGCATCATGGAGAAAAACAGGATACAAACCATATATACAATATAATCCTTTTTTAATTTTAGAAATATATATAGAAAATATGTAGCAATCTAGAACTAAAATAAAATATATACCAAAATATTAATAGAAGTTTTCCCTGTGTGGTGGGATTATGGGTAATTTAAATTTTCTATTTAAAATTTCACTGTTCCAATGTACGAAAAAAGTAGATCATGATCATGATAATTCCTGCAGCAATTTCCCTAGAGTCATAAATTGGAAAAATTAAACAAATATAAAATTGTGTTTCTGGCTTTCATGGCATCCTGTAGCAAACACATAAATCAATCATAAAAATCTAATTCTCCAGTCCTAATCTCATTCTCGAAACTAGAGCCCACAGTCACACTCCCTTAACGTCATCCCAGCGTCACTAACCTGAATCGAAGTCACGACTCCATTGGCAAAGACAGAGAGCTTGCCGGCCACGGATCTCACTCCCTGCTTGAACTGGGCCATGTCGGGAGCCGTGGGCAGCACACTTGTGAGGTTGTAGCTTCCTGCACACAGAGCAGATGCTGGCTTGTCACTCCACCGCAGCCATGGCACAACCAGTGCCCAGGGCACTCGATGACTTACGGAATGTTTATGCCCTCCCCTCCCGCTCCCCACCAAGCAGCAGCTATGGCCAAGGGAAAGGGACCCTACAGGGGTTTAGGACTCAGGGTTCACTGGCAGCCTCACCGTGAACCCGCTGCAAAACCCCACATGAGAGAGGATGTAGTACTGGGTCTTAGGACAATCACAGGTTCAAATCCTGGCACTGCCACTTCCAAGCTGTGTGTCTTTGGAGAGGTTCCTTGCCCTCTCTGGGCCCCCATTTCCTCCAGGTGCTTACCCCAAGACCTGACAGGTAAGTACTAAGTGGCAGATGGGTGTTTGGTGTGCTCAGCATCCCTTCCCTGCTCTTCTGTTAAAAACCCTCCCCCATCCCTCTGGAGACTCCCTTCGACCCCACCCACAGAGGTGGGCACATGACCTGGGCCTGGCCAATCAGAGCCTTCCTGGGATTCATGTCGCCTCACGAAGAGAACTCGGCTGCTTGCTCCGGGGTGACGGACCATGAACTGTGGATGACGCACCGCCCCTGCCCCCTCCTCAGGTTGGGGTGGAGGACAGCTGACGCAGTACCAGAGAACGGGGCTCCCCCAGGGAGGTGAGCCAAGTGGGTGAGGCTGACGCTGTTTCCTGACTCTGGGCTGGGGCCACACTCACCCCGGGTTTTCTCAGGGAGACACCCAGCCCTCACCTTTCACCCCGAGGCCGGTGTCGGCCCGTCTGCGGCTTTACTTGTGCTTGTCCTGACATAAACATCCGCATACTGCCACCAGCACGGGTGAAGCGTGTCAGTGTTTTCACACAGGAAGTGGCCCCGGGGCTGACAACTGGGCTTGTGTGGTGAGCTCCTGTCTGCAGTGGTAAGAAGATCCTGGAGGCTCCGCGGCTGTCGGAGCCCGAGCCCGGGCCAGCCACCCCGTAAGGCTCGTGTACCTGCCTGTCCCTCGAGCAGCAGAAGGCAGGTCTCTTCCCAGTAACAAACAGACATGTTTACCCTTCAGCACAGATGCCACCCAGAAGAGACACAGTGTCTACCCGCAGCACTGCCTGTGCCCACCACGTGGGGAGGGGTCTCAGGTGCGGGTTCTTCCCCTCTCTGCTTCCAGCTGACTTTTTAAAGTTTTGTAGGCCTTTACTAATTACAGCAGATGCTCAGTCCAGTGACAGGGTCTGGGTTCAAACCCTGGCAGTGCCGCCAGACTGATGGGTTATGGCAAACAAGTGTGAGACCCCGAGTGTGGACAGCCAGAGCCGCGGCTGCTCCATTATGCAGTGAGGTCCAGAGTAGCCAGGGAGGTGTGCCCAGTGGTCGGTGGGGGTGACTGGAGCCGAAGTGCTGCCACGTGTGAGTTCGCAACTTAAGAAATGTTTGCAGTGGAGGGCGCAGCTGGGGTGTGACAGTTACGATGTCTCACTAGCTACATTCAGGCCCCAGGAACCCTGCGATGGCTGCCAGTCCCCAGTGTCATTCCTCTCCCCTCTGCTTCTCTGTACAGAACTCCTAAATTCGAACCCTTGCAACAAGGTGTGTCCAGGTGACAGAGTTCTGGTCAATGGGATGTAAACAGAAGTGCCTTACAGGGCTGGGGTATGCCCTTTTCCTTCCTTCTTCCTCTAGCTGGGATGCAGATGTGATGGCTAGAACTGGAGCAGCCATTTAGGGCATGAGGTGAAGTAGAGAATGGAGGTCACATCCAACAAGATGAAAGGGGCCTGGGTCCTTGGTGCCAAGGAACACGCGCACCAGTCCTGAACTGCCTCCATAGAATCGTATGTGAGAGAAACAAACTCGGATCTGATCTCGCTTCTGTTACTGTGCACCTTCATCACTTACTTAATGCTCACTAATGATCTAAGCTCCCGGGGGTATCGGTAGCTCCAGAACCCCTGGAGCAGGTGTCGGGTCCCCAGCAAGGCCACTACCCCCCACCCCCCACCGCAGGCCGCTGCCTTGGGCTTGCTGTGCTTCCCACTCGAGAGACTGACCGAGGGGCCCGTGCATCCGGCAGCCTCCTCCCACCTCTGAGGGCTGCCCAGGCAGCAGGCCGGAACGGACGGGCAGAACTGGTCTAAAAAACAGCCCGAGCACACTCAGTCTACACAATGGGCTCCAGGAAATGACAGATGAAGCCACTTCCTCAGTAAGAGGCTCCTGGACCTGTGGACTAGGTTAGTCCCCTGTTTCCAAGCTTTCTGTTCCCATAATACCCACAGTGGGCCTGGTGCCGAGGACACCAACACAAACCCGCTTTCCCAGAACTTCCAGCCTCCTGGGGATGGCAGATAATTGGCAGGTGACAACACTAAGGATTCGGGCCACTGCTGTGGTTCAGGAACACTGGTGTGGCTGAGCCTGAGCCGGCAGCCGTGGTCAGGGGTGGGTGGGTCTGAGCGCTCGGAGCAGGCTTACTGACCGATGGCTGGAGGAGGCTGGGAAGGACAGAAAGCAAGGAAGGGCCCTGGGGGTCTGGCTTGAGCAAGCAAGACAGCAGCTCCCCTCTCCAAGGCCGAGGCCCCTGGAGGGAGCAGCCAGGGTAGGTGTCAAGGGGCACACGTGGAGGGCCTTCACTGTGCCCAGTGTGGTCAACAGAGGGCCTGTCAGGTCCTTGCAACCAGGCCCCTGGGGCCACCTCTCAATTCCAGCTTCCAGTCACCGCAACGGGGAAGGAAACGGCAACGTGCACACTGGGGCCTAAAGTGTGAGCCATAACGCATGGCTGCTGTGCACCTGTCACTGGGCCCTGTGCCAGTGGAGTTGGTGGGAAGTGCATTGCTCGACTGGGCTGGAAGAGCAGCTGGCACGGTGGGGACCCTGGCTCCTGCGCTCAGCCTGACTGAGGGGCCCACCGAACAGCACCTACTTCCAGAGCTCACGAGTGCCCCACTTCACTCACTGCCCGTCCATTTGTCACTCAACACCCACTTGGGCTTCCTCTGTGCCAGGCAGGTCAGGTGCCAGGGGACAGAGATGAGAAGGGGCTCAGGGTCCCAAAAGGGGAAATGGACATGGGGGGGCCTCACCCCCAGTGGTGAGAGCACAAGTGGTGGGGATGTGTAAGGTGGCCTAACCAGGGAGCTGCCCTCCAACACAAGGGCAGGATTTTAAGTGCTGGATGACTGCCCTGTCCTTGGGAAAATCGCCCTTGGGGTTGGGAGAAGGCTGGGGGCAGCCGGGCCCAGAGGTAGGAGGACCAGTGCGCCTGCGCCCTGGCGTGGGGGACTGGCAGGGCAGATCTGCAGTTGCGTGGAAGCTGGAAGAGGCCAGGATAGTTCCCAGGCCCTGCAACAATGGATATTCTATACAATGTCAAGTACCCATTTCCCTGAAATGGGGGCAAACCAAGAGAAAAAGGAAATGAAGGAGAATGGCCTGTGGGAAACCCCAGGGCTCCTGGGCGAGGCCACACCCAGAAGTACTTCACTTCACCAGGAGGCACTTGGAATTTGCCTCAGAGACGTGATGAAGGTGCCCCACGATCCCCACAGTGATACTGGCATTTTGCACAGGGGAAAGCAGCCCAAGATAAGGAGCACAGAACAGTCTTTTAAACCAGCTCTTGCTCTTTGCTGAAATGTACTCTAAATAAAAAATAAATATTTAATAAGTTGTTCAGTACTCTTACATTTAGGGTGGTCATTAAAGGCATCTCATGACGAGCTTGAAGGAAGATACAGAAAAAGGTGACTGTGGCCTGAGCCACCGGGGCTGGGATGCAGGAGAGCAGCAGCCTGGCCAGCTGGGGGCGGGCAGGAGGCGTCCGGGTGGCCTGTGTACCCCAGGGTGTGCCTCACTGTCCCAGTGCCGGGCATTTGTCTGGGATGCACGCAGGGCCAGAGAAAGTAATGGACCTTTGCTCTCCGAAAGGGACAGGAAAGTGAACACAGGCAGGCTACAAGTTTCCTTTCAACAGTTGGAAAGGCTGCTCTCATTTGATCCCCAAAAGTGTTTTTAATAAACAATGTTTTTTTAGACTGAAACGTTCAGCAACTTGAACTACAAAATTATACCTGGCTGGTGGGTGATTTTCCACATACTGGGTTCTCTGCACTGACCTGCCCCCTATGCCAGGGCTTGCGAGGTGAGCCAGCACTGACCCACAGAGGTTGGAGGTGGGACTGCTGGAAGCCCCCCGAAGCGCTAAGCACCCTCTGGCAGGGCTGTCACAAAAGCAAGTTGCCCCGAGAGGAGGCCAGGATATGGCGAGTCTGGAGATGGGAACACCAATCCACGTGCCCAACTGCATCCATACCAGTGCAGGAAACACCCATCAGAAAGCAGCGGCCCACCTGGGAGCAACAGGTCCCTCCTGCTCAAGGTCAGGGGGTGCAGCGTCGGCGCAGGGGCATCGTGCTAGGCCGTCGTGCCCCACCTTGTGGGCAGCACACAGCTGGCTCGCCCACTTGCGCCAGGCCTGCTCGTCTCTGTGGCTGGCTCCCCAGGCACTCTCTGGCTGGAACGCTCCTCCTCATTCTCGTAGGGCCCGCTGAACGCCCAGGGCCAGGGCAGATCGTGACAACCCCTAAACCTGACATGGCAGGTCTCAGGCACTCAGTCTGTCCTGTGACCTTCTCTGTGAGGTTGTTTTTCTCTGGACTCAGAACTCTGCTGCCCTTGTAGCTGCAAGGCCAAGTGGCCACCTGTGCTGGTCACCCCACGCCCATGGCCGGCTCCTCCAGGGCTGGAAATGAGGGGATACAGGTGATCCTGGGCCTTGACTGCCTGGCTCTGAGACCCTGCCTTCTCTTGGGCTCTCCTGCTGCACAGGCACAGGTTCCTGAAATGACCTTAAGAGGCCACCGCTCCTTTAATGTTAGCTATGACACACAGGGACACTCATGGCACTGCCCTTACCCTTGGGCCCGGCTGGGGCCTCAAATCAAGGGGAGGATTTGAACATAGCTTTCCTGTGGCTCAGGGACACAGAGACACAAGCAGAGAGTGGCACGGTTACGGATGTCTGTGAGGGCCCGTGCTCTGAGCTTACTCCCTGGGGCTACTGGACATTTCGCTGGGTCTGAACCCTGGAGAGGGGTGCAAGGGACAGGAACCTCCCCTCCAGCAGCCTGCTTCCAAAGCTGCATTCTGTCTTCCTTGGAAGACTCAGGCTGGCAGTTACCTGTGCTATCTGCTTCTGCTTTCCCCCGGGGCCTGGGAAGGCCTGCCAACGTGCCAGACTCGGAGGTGGCACTTTATAGGTAACACATCATTTCTGCCTTAGTACAACCTTGGAAGGCAGGCATTATGCACCCCCCTTATGAGGAGGAACCGGAGGCTAAAAGCAACATGAGATGCTCAAGGTCTCATGGTGAGGTCATAGTCAGTGTTACACAGGAGCCTGGGGCCATCCACCTCCAAGTCCGTGACACCACACGAGTCAGACACCACGGCCACACTGTGCGGGGAAGCACCATGGCAATGCTTCAGGAGGACGACTTGCTGAGTTACTTGGGGGGCGATGCTTAAATTTTGTGACCTGGTCTCGCCACATGCAAAGCCTGGAATAGTAACTTCTGCTCTACCCGACTTATGGGGGTAAGAGAATCAAGTAACAGTTGCTAACAATGTTGGAAAGGTAGAAAGTTCCTTCAGAGGAAATGTGCTCATCCACACACACAATGGAGACCCACCTGGTGAGCCCCCACCACGCCCATTACCTGCTGTTTGCTTCCTCTGCTCATCAAACAGATCGGCTGAACTTATGGAGGAACTTGCGGAGAGCCTCTCCAGCCGGGCCCTGGTTTCATACTGAGAACACAAGAACGAGGGCACATCAGGCTGGGCCCAAGGGCGCGCGACTTGGCAAAGTGTTTCCCCGGGGAGCTGCCATCTGCATGTGTCTGCTCCCCTCGGCTCTCTCTCTGGTGGCTGCCCAAGGCCACCACTGTGGCTGGGCCTGGGGGACAGCACAACACTCAGGCTCTGCAGGCCATGAGCAGACACACCAACAAACGGTGCCGTGGCCAGCAATGGTCAGTGCCGGGGGGAACCCAGAGCAACAGCAAGAGAGTGACAGCTCTGCCGTGGAGCTGCTGTCCCCAGCCCACAGGAAAGGCCGCTCCAAGAAGCTTCCCCAGACCCATTATGTCATTTTGTAACTTGAATGTCATCAACTTTACAACAAGGCAGGTTTTGGGGGTGGGTAAGTAGCCAAGCAGCAACGCTGAATCCTGTGGAAATGCTGGTCAAAGTTCTACTGCTACAAAACAAAACCAGAACACTCTAGGAAATAATTCTCTAGTCCAAGAAGCCTAGTGGTAACACACATCCCCACGAGTTTTACGGAAGCACACGCGCTTCAGAATTAGGAGACCTTAAGTCTCTCGTTTCCATGGATACAGGTGATCCTGGGCCTTGACTGCCTGGCTCTGAGACCCTGCCTTCTCTTGGGCTCTCCTGCTGCACAGGCACAGGTTCCTGAAATGACCTTAAGAGGCCACCGCTCCTTTAATGTTAGCTATGACACACAGGGACACTCATGGCACTGCCCTTACCCTTGGGCCCGGCTGGGGCCTCAAATCAAGGGGAAGATTTGAACATAGCTTTCCTGTGGCTCAGGGACACAGAGACACAAGCAGAGAGTGGCACGGTTACGGATGTCTGTGAGGGCCCGTGCTCTGAGCTTACTCCCTGGGGCTACTGGACATTTCGCTGGGTCTGAACCCTGGAGAGGGGTGCAAGGGACAGGAACCTCCCCTCCAGCAGCCTGCTTCCAAAGCTGCATTCTGTCTTCCTTGGAAGACTCAGGCTGGCAGTTACCTGTGCTATCTGCTTCTGCTTTCCCCCGGGGCCTGGGAAGGCCTGCCAACGTGCCAGACTCGGAGGTGGCACTTTATAGGTAACACATCATTTCTGCCTTAGTACAACCTTGGAAGGCAGGCATTATGCACCCCCCTTATGAGGAGGAACCGGAGGCTAAAAGCAACATGAGATGCTCAAGGTCTCATGGTGAGGTCATAGTCAGTGTTACACAGGAGCCTGGGGCCATCCACCTCCAAGTCCGTGACACCACACGAGTCAGACACCACGGCCACACTGTGCGGGGAAGCACCATGGCAATGCTTCAGGAGGACGACTTGCTGAGTTACTTGGGGGGCGATGCTTAAATTTTGTGACCTGGTCTCGCCACATGCAAAGCCTGGAATAGTAACTTCTGCTCTACCCGACTTATGGGGGTAAGAGAATCAAGTAACAGTTGCTAACAATGTTGGAAAGGTAGAAAGTTCCTTCAGAGGAAATGTGCTCATCCACACACACAATGGAGACCCACCTGGTGAGCCCCCACCACGCCCATTACCTGCTGTTTGCTTCCTCTGCTCATCAAACAGATCGGCTGAACTTATGGAGGAACTTGCGGAGAGCCTCTCCAGCCGGGCCCTGGTTTCATACTGAGAACACAAGAACGAGGGCACATCAGGCTGGGCCCAAGGGCGCGCGACTTGGCAAAGTGTTTCCCCGGGGAGCTGCCATCTGCATGTGTCTGCTCCCCTCGGCTCTCTCTCTGGTGGCTGCCCAAGGCCACCACTGTGGCTGGGCCTGGGGGACAGCACAACACTCAGGCTCTGCAGGCCATGAGCAGACACACCAACAAACGGTGCCGTGGCCAGCAATGGTCAGTGCCGGGGGGAACCCAGAGCAACAGCAAGAGAGTGACAGCTCTGCCGTGGAGCTGCTGTCCCCAGCCCACAGGAAAGGCCGCTCCAAGAAGCTTCCCCAGACCCATTATGTCATTTTGTAACTTGAATGTCATCAACTTTACAACAAGGCAGGTTTTGGGGGTGGGTAAGTAGCCAAGCAGCAACGCTGAATCCTGTGGAAATGCTGGTCAAAGTTCTACTGCTACAAAACAAAACCAGAACGCTCTAGGAAATAATTCTCTAGTCCAAGAAGCCTAGTGGTAACACACATCCCCACGAGTTTTACGGAAGCACACGCGCTTCAGAATTAGGAGACCTTAAGTCTCTCGTTTCCATTTGAGTCTACTGCTTAGCAAGGCTCCACTAAGACAAGCTCATTAACATTTCTGAGAAAATAAACATACCTACTTTCCAAAAACATACCTATATACTTCATTTAACTATGGTTACAAATTAGAAAGTAAATTATAGCTGTATCAAAAGTTGTCTGAAATTTATTTAAAAGATACTGAATGGATGGCTGTTCAAAACACTGAGAAAGGAGCAAGAAATACGAGCCCCAGTCCCTACCTTGCAATCACTCCTCCAGCTGGGGCAGTGAGGTGGGGAATTAGTCAGAAAGATGTAGGTTCGAGTCCTGCCTCCAGCACTTGGGCTGGGCCTCTGGCCACCTGGGTCCACCTCAGTGCCCACTACTTCCTCCCACAGCTCCTGTGCCCCCCTGCTTCCTGCTCTGTGGGCTCGCACCGAGACTCTCCGAACACTCACATCAGCTTGGGCTTGTCTTCCAAAGTACATATCTGATGAGATGGCTTTGACGTTGCCAAACTTCTTCTGGGCCTCATCTGTGTTTTCGGCTGGCTCGTAGTCTGGCTTGCGGCGAGCAGTAGGTCTATAATTAGAAACAGTTAAAATAGGAGTGACATCAGCAAGACAGTGGGATAGGAATTTCTACTAGCATCTCCCCACAGAACACTGATTTTGACAATCACCCACAGACAAGATCGCCTTCTGTGGGGGGCCCAGATTCCAGCAGTGAGGTTCCAGCACATTGTCGCAGCAAAAACGTCAAGACTGGACGCACTGAAGAGCGTAAAGAGGACAGTGTCACCCCTTTCCCAAGGCAGCACAGCTCAGCACCAAGAGAGAGCCCCATGACCTGCAATTTCTCCCGTGAGTAGGGGTGAAAGGGTAGTGAGTGGGTGCCTGGTTTCTCCAGCTGTGTGGGACTTGGCCATGGACACCTACTTCTTTCTCACCCCATCCAGGATACTGAGGTCCATTTGGCCTAGAGGCTGGGAGAGGCTAGAAGCACAGCAGCCAGAGCCACTGGGGACACTTCACCTGTGGAGCCCCAGCTGGCCCATGGGTGCCCTTCAGTGCACTGTACGCCTCACCTTCCACAGCCCCCACATAGCTGGCTCCTTAAACACAGCCCCTGCAGATGGTGAGTGCAAGCCTTTGCAGACAGCTGGTGTACATGGACAGAATGCCAGCCTGACTCTGTGGGACTGAGAGAAAGCACACAAACTCAAGCATTTCCAGGCACCATCCTAGGAAAGCAAACAGGAGACTCTCAGCACCTGGCTTGGCTTGGTGGGACCGAAGGAAGGCACACCATCTTAAGAATTCACCCCAAAAGGGAATAAGTACACCCATAGAACAGGTATGAGAAAACTTCAGAATCCCTAGCAGGGCTGACTGTTGAAGGCATTTCTCTTCCAAAGCCAGTTGCTGCAGACTGGAAGAAGAGACTCCTTCAAATGCAAAGACAGCAACACAGACCCCAGGGAACCCAAAAAATCAGGGGCACATGATACCACAAAGGAAACAGAGTAATTTTCCAGTAACTAGCCCCAATAAATTGCCTGACAAAGAATTAAAAATAATTGGTTAAGGAAGCTCAGCAACCTGTAAGAACGCAGACAGACAACTCAACAAAATCAGGAAAAGAACACACGAACAAAAGGAGACGTTAAACAGAGACAGAAATCATAACAAAGAGCCAAATGGGAACTCTGGAGCTTTGAATATAATGAATGCAACAACGAGCATCAACAGCAGGCTTGATCAAGCAGAAGAAAGAATCTGTGAACTCAAAGACAAGTCATTTGAAGTTATCCTGTTAGAGGAGAAAAAAGAATGCTAAAGAGTGAAGGAAGCTAGGTGAATTATGGGGCACCATAAGAAATAATCTATGCATTATGGGAGTCCCAGAAGGAGAAAAGAGGGAGAAAGGAACAGAAGGCTTATTTAAAGAAACAGTGGCTAGAAATGTCCCAAATCTGGAGAGAAGTATGAATTCCAGGTACATGAAGCTCATAGGTCCCCACACAGATTAAAAAAGGTTTTCACCAACACATATTATAATAAAACTCAAAAATCGAAGACAAAGAGAGAATTCTGAGACCAAGAGTAAAGAAACTTATCCCGTACAATGGAACACCCCAGTCCCCGAAAAAGGTTATCAGATTTCTCAGCATAACCCTGGCAGGCCAGGAAGTAGTGGTATGACATATTCAAAAGGCTTAAAGAAAAAAAACCTGCCAATCATTAGACTTGTCTCACAAGAAATGCTAAAAGGAATTATTATTATTATTTTTAAAAATGTTCCCTGTCCTTGACTAAAACGAATTCCTCGAGCTGAAATGACAGGATGCTAATTGGTAACATAAAAGTATAAAACTCACTGGTAAAGGTAAATGTATAGTCAGATTGAGAACACTCTAACAGTGCGACGGTAGTGTGTAAGTCACTTAACTCTAGTATAAAGGTTAAAAGAAAAAAGGCCTAAAAATAACTATAACTGCAATAATTTGTTAGTAGATAATATAAAAACATGTAAACTGTGACGGCGAAAACAAAGTGTAGGGGGGTAGAATAAAAGGGTAGAAGGTCTGTATGCAGTCTACGTTGTTATCAGTCTAAAACAGATTGTTGTAACTATAATGTTTTACGTAAGCCTCATGCTAACCACAAAGCAAAACCTTACAGTAGATACACAAAAGAGAAAGAGAAAGAAATCAAAGCATGCCACTGTGGAAAACCATCATATCGCCAGAGAAGACAGCAAGAGAGGGGGAGGGGACAAGGGAATTACCAGACAGCCAGGAAGCAATGAGATATATATAGGGATTACGTTCTCCAAATGAAAGACATAGAGTGGCTGAATGGATTAAAAAAGCAAGACGTAACTACATGCTGCCTATAGGAGACTCATTTCAGCTTTAAGGACACACACAGGCTAAAAGTGAAGGGATTGAAAAAAATACTCCATGCAAATGGAAACCAAAAGAGACCAAGGATAGCCACACTTTTATCAGAAAAACAGACTTTAAGTCAAAAACTGTAACAGAGACAAGGTCATTATATAATGACAAGTGGGCCACTTCATCAAGAGGATGTAACAATTGTAAATATATATGCACCCAACATTGAAGCACCTAAGTACTTTGAGCAAATATTAACAGATCCGAAGGAGAAATAGTACTGCAATGTAACTGCAATAGAGGGCTCAACACCCCACTTTCAACAATGGATGGACCACCCAGCCAGAAAACCAGTAAGGAAAATTGGACGTGAACTATGTTAGACCAAATGGACCAAAATATTCAGTACATTCTATCCAATAACAGCAGAACACATATTCTCAAGTGCACACAGAACATTCTCCAGGATAAATCATATGTTAGGTCATAAAACAAATTTCAATCATATATTTGGGTCTTAACAAATGTAAGAAGATTGAAATCATATTAAGGATCTTTCCAACCACTTTCCATACCACTTCGATAGTATGGGAGTAGAAATCAGTAATGGGAAAACTGGAAAATTCACAAATATGTGGAAATTAAACAACACGCTCCTGAACATCAATGGGTCGCAGGAGAAATCACAAAGGAAGTCAAAAACTATCTCGAAGCAAATGAAAATGGAGACACAACACACCAAAATCTATGGCATACAGCAAAAGTAGTTCTAAGAGCGAAGTTTACAGTCAACAGGTATTTGAAACCATGTTCAACATCACTAGTCATCAGGGAAATGCAAATCGAAGCGACAAGCGTCACACCTGCTAGGATGGCAGTCATCAAAAAGAGGTAAGGGGAGGCCTGGAGCAGAGGGAATCGCCACACACTGTTGGTGGGAATGTGAACTAGCACAGCCATTTTGGGAAAGAGCACGGAGTTCCCTCAAAAAATTAAAAATAGAACTACTGTATGATCCAGCAATTCCACTTCTGAGTATGTATCTCAAGGGAACAAAATCAGCATCTTGATGAGATACCTGCACTGTCGTGCTCACTGCAGGATTCCTCCTAATAGCCAAGGTATGGGAACAGCCTGTGTCTGCTGATGGGTGAACGGATAAAGGAGATGTGGTATGCATACAATGGATTATTATTCCTAAAATGAAGGAAATTTTGCCATTTCCAACAACAAGAATGGGCCTGGAAGACACTATGCTAAGTGAAATAAGCCAGGCAGAGAAAGACAAACACTGCATGATATCACTTATATGTGGAATCTACAATTTTAAAAAATTAAACTCATAGAAATAGAATAGAATTGTGGTTCCCAGACATGGGGAAGTGGGGGAAATGGGCAGATGATGGTCAAACGGTACAAAGTTGCACTTATAAGATGAGTAAGTTCTGGGGATCTAAGTACAGCACTAACAATACTGTATTACAGATGTGAAATATGTTGAGAAAGTAGATTTTAAGTATTCTCAGTACAAAAACAAAAACAGACAAACAAAATCCAGCACAAAAAACAAAAACAGACAGACCAAAAAAAAAAGAGAAAATCAGCCCAAATAGGTTAAATTATGAGGTGGGGCAAATGCATTTTTCACTTACAATGCATACACATGCTGTTTCACTTTTTAAAAAGCCAGCAGCAGTAATTTTGTAAAAGAAATTGAGGCCACTTTAAGAGGCAGCAAATTCTAATTTTAAAAATGAATAACTATCCAAACCATAAAAAATTTGAAGGAATTTTCCCATTTAAAATAGGCCTGGTATTTCACTCTTCAGCTCCATTTAGTAAATACTGAGTGAACTGTTTGTGATGCATGTAAGACACTGCTCTACATTATGTAACAGGCAAAATGAGTGGGACGACTGTATATCCAATTACCTAGAATAACCCCCTTGCGCTCTCCACGTTCCCTGGTTTGGACAATAAGTGATACAGTCCTTTATATAAAATCACCAACAACTGGAGACAGAGCTTCAACAGGTGAATGGATAAACAAACTTAGCAATAAAGAGGAATGAACACAACATGAGCGAGACTCAAATGCACCAGAAGCCAAAGAAGCCTTAGGAGGCCACTTACCGTATGAGCCCATTCATATGATATTCTAAGAAGGGCAAAGTTGTAGGGTCAGAAAACAGAACAGGATACAAAGAATATTATTGAAATAGGATAAAATCATTTGCCAGTCTTAGTGAACTTCCCCAGTGGTGCATGCACTTGCTATTTACAGCCCATGGTTTTGCAGCTCATACCTGTCTGAATAGCCTGTGGTTTTCAGAACTGTGTCGGTATCTTTGATGGTCTCTTTTTTCCAAAAGGAATCTGCACTGTCATCCCAGCTAGAAAAAGAGCTGCTCCTTAACTCCATTGGCTCATCAAAATACCTGTATGAAAAAGAGTAGAACAGACTTTGGAGGACCTTACTGATGCCCACCCACATGGAGTACATGGCGACTATGCTTTCCAGCCCCTTTGAAGTTGGGGGCAGCCCTGTGACTAGATCTGATCAATGACCAGGTGTAGACAAAGTCACTCCCAAGGCCTTCAGAGCTTGCCCAGTCCGCTCTTCCTTTGCCACATGGAAGACGTTGTTTTCCACGTGCTGCAGCCTGGGGCAGGTGAAAAGTCCATCCAATTGGATAATCAAAGTGCCAAGGTAACCTAGACAATCACCTGTGCCCTCCTATGACTTTAGTAAGAAACAAACCATCATGTGTTAAGCCCTTAAAACCTGGGGGGGACACCCACCCCTGCTGTATACCCCAGTGTATGCAGACGGCACACAGGATCTTGGCGTTGTGCCCACTACAGGTTATACCCTTCATTTCCCTTGGGTCAGGCTCTTTCGCATCAGGGAGACACAAATAACGATGCTGGGCCTGAGGTACAGATGCCATCCGAGGAGCTCCTTCTTGGCCATCCCTCCCATGTTAGCCACAGTGAAAGCTACCAATCCTAACAGTAACTACCACTTAACGCAAATGATGCTCATCAGCCTCCTCCTGGAGTCAGATTCCAGGACTGCTGGTCACTGGACCAGTCTGCGGTCTCTCAGTCTGGGGCTTGAAATGAACCTGATCTGTAAGCATCTCAAAGGAGATGCTGGCCTTCTGGGAGGGTTCACACCTTCCTTAGCCGAACGTCACTGAGCAGGGCACTGCCCAGAGGGCAGAACTCAGTGGCAGATGTCAGTCCCATGTGGTGAGAGAGACCCGTGACCAAGTGCCACAGGGTTTGCCTATGCCAAGCCAGAGGTTGGCAGGCGAGGTGGACATGCTGGAGCCTTACTAAAAAGTGACCATGCCATGTCAGAATTCATGACTGCACAGGATGGAAAACAGCCCAGACGGATACACACACCTTGTAAAGGTGGCATTCTAGGCTTGGCGCTTAGGAAAGGAAGGATGATGGAAGAGAATGAAGAGGCTTTCAAAAACATCCTCCAGGACTTCTGCAGAGAGTAGGAACAGAAGCGCCCAGGGACCCAGGTGAGCACCAAGCTCCGATGACACGGGAGGTGTGCAAAGACAGAGAGCCCGGCTCCTTGGAGGGGCCCACAAGCAAGGATGGACTGAGAGGGCAGCAGGGACCTGTAAGAACAGGCCAGGGACCCAGAGAAGCTGGGATTTGGGGGGAAAGACGTTAAAAACAAATGGACCTTTTCCTGACAGAGAAAAAAAAACAAACATGGGAGGGGAGGATAAACATGCTGCTTTTGGCAGATGGGAGTGACTTCGCTGGGTTAGAGGGAGAGAGCAGAACTTCCAAGTGAGGCCTCTGCCTCCTCTGGCAAGGTCACTAGGGAAAAACTTGCTACATTGGCCCCCTGCTCTCTGGAGGGAAGGTACAGCATATCTGATTTCAGCTAGAAACCGGCAGGCTCTGCCTCTGGTGGCTGAGTCCTGAGCCCAGGGCTCTGCTTGGAGGAGCAGACACAGTCCATCCCTGTTCAGAGAAGAGACCGGGACAACGGAGACTTGAAGTCATATCAGAGAAATATTTGAAGGATGTGGGACAAATGTGGGCCTGAAAAGTTATCTTCAGATATTTGAGGGACTATGTGCAAGGACCCAAGGGAAAGAACTAAGACAAATTCAATGAGGAATTTAAAACCTACTCAATAAGCACCTAGGAGGGGCCAGGCCTAGGCAAGGACACAGGGCAAGGAGACATGTCAGGCCTCTGCCCCCGTGGGGCTGGCTGCTTTGAGCTCCGAAACCCAGGGAGATGAGTAAGTATGAGGCAGTGTTTCTCATGGGGCCGCCCCTGGACTGAACGGCTGCCTTGAGGAAGAGGACGGCGGGGGACGAAGGAGGGGGACTGCCTGGTCCCCCGGGCGCTGGGGGTGGCAGGGTGGAGCAAGCATGGACTGGAGCCGGCTAAAACTTCCAGGACTTAGGATTTTTTGAATTTAGGATCAGCCTAAGGAAATATTCTTCATTTGTATAAGCTCCAGTGTTTATCCTGGAGCACAGGGGCCCTGACGTTTCCTAAATGACTAGGCTATTCAACAACCCAGAGAGAGGACTCAGGAAGGATGGGGTGCCAGGATCCCTCGCCTGTCCTCACACACACAGCGGGCGGCCCCACCTCTGAATCTCCTTGACTTTCTGACGTTTTGGTTTGTGATCTTGTTCTCTGTGCTCTTCCCTTTTATTGTGGGCCTCCCACTCTGTCTTCATCCAATCCTTAAAACACCTTGAAAAGAGGAACCTATGTCGTATCTGATTCACAGCTATAGACAATTGTCTATTCCATCAGAGGCCACACTGAGAAAACTGTTCTGTGTCATTATTTTGTCCTCAATATACAATACAATGTTTATATTCTGCGAATAATGGAACTCCATAAAAACAAACCAGAGATACGGTTGATCTTATTTTTAATAGAAACAGTACTCTTTCATAATTCAAAATACTCAAGTTCTAATGGGCTAATGAATAATTTGGAAGCAATGAGAGCTTTTCATGGAACTAATATACTTGCTTTCCGAGAGTCTGTGTTGACTTACCTCGGCTGCCAGAGTATCAATAGTACCCTTGTTCTATTAACAACGGCGGAACCACGGAGAGCCAGAGGAGGCATCTGTGCTGCTGACAGCCTCAGGCGGCGACATGCCACACTCCAAGGTCTGCTGGCACTGCCATCTGCTTCTAGACTTCACCATGAATAATTGTTTCATAGTAAAGGTGGCCTTAAGGCCCACTCTTTTTTTTTTTCACCTTTAATGAGTGTTTATTTTTTGTATTAATATTATTACAGCCAATCTTTAGATATTATGATAATATACTAAAATCTTGAGATAATAATAACAATAACATTTTTTTTTGAGAGGGCATCTCTCATATTTATTGATCAAATGGTTGTTAACAACAATAAAATTCTGTATAGGGGAGTCAACGCTCAATACACAATCATTAATCCACCCCCAGCCTAATTCTCAGCAGTCTCCAATCTTCTGAAGCATAACGAACAAGTTCTTAGATGGTGAATAAGTTCTTACATAGTGAATAAGTTCTTACATGGTGAACAGTGCAAGGGCAGTCATCACAGAAACTTTTGGTTTTGATCACGCATTATGAACTATAAACAATCAGGTCAAATATGAATGTTCGTTTGATTTTTATACTTGATTTCTATGTGAATCCCACATTTCTCCCTTTATTATTATTAGTATTATTTTTTTAAATAAAATGCTGAAGTGGTAGGTAGATGCAAGATAAAGGTAGAAAACATAGTTTAGTGCTGTAAGAGAGCAAATGTAGATGATCAGGTGTGTGCCTGTAGACTATGTGTTAATCCAAGCTAGACAAGGGCATTAATACATCCACGGATGCAGAAGATTTCTCTCAAACAGGGGGGGTGAGGTTCTAAGCCTCACTTCTGTTGATCCCCAATTTCTCACCGGATGGCCCCCCTGCGACTGTGCCTGTCTTAGGTTGCTCCTCCCTTGAGGAATCTTACCCGCCTCTGGCTAACCAGTCATCTTCCGGGGCCATACAGGGAAATGTAAAGTTGGTAAGTGAGAGAGAAGCCATATTGTTTTGTTTGAAAAGGTTAGCTTTTTACTTCTTTGCAGATTTATGCCCTGTGGCTTCTATGCCCAGCATTTGTCTTGAGTAAGGCCCACTCTTTTGACTAAGCTTTTGGAGAAAGAGAAACCTACAGGCCTCCTGAAGCTCTGCAGGCAGGTAATGCCCCCACAGGGCCTGTCAGTGACCTGGAGCTGGCAATGCTCCCCAGAAGCTTCTTGGGGCCCCTTCCACAGCTAACCTCACCTGTAGCTGCTTCTCTTTCCACCTCTGCTACCATACAGCAATACTGATGTAACTTGAAATTTATTTTCTCTACTTTCCTCTGCTCTCATCTGCAGGAGTTGCTAATGAGCAGAGGAATAACCACAAAGGTGTGGAGAAGCCAAGCAGGAGACTGTGGAAGCTGCAAAGCTAGGGTTCCTCTGACCCAGACTCACTCCCTCGTTTAACCCACAAATCTGTAGTGATCTGATGTACATGCAGCTTCCAAATCAAGTTAAACATTTAATTTTAGCCCATAGAAAATGTAGTTAAATGCTTTTAAAAGGCATGACTTGGGAGTTACCTCTAAGTAAACTGCCTGGTGTGTTACACAAGTTAATCATGATAAGCAAGTATAAAACCATTCTTGTCTGAAAGCAGTGACAGGAAATACCACTGAACTACCTTTTTTTTTCCTCTGGTAAAATACGGACTTGAAATAATTTGAGGCTACGCTAGGAGAATTTTTTCAGGGTAGTGCTCTGTATACAATTCCTTACCTATGAACTTTGATAGAACATATAATTTAATGACTAGACTAGTTAATAGTTAATATATGTTTCTATCTGTCCCATATGTGAAATGCCTATCTGCTAATTATTTGAAGACACTTTGGGCCTTTCTCACTGCCAGGCAAGAGCAATGTCCTCACAGAGATCAGCGGCGGGGCCCCTCATGAGCACCGCCATGACAGGCAGGCACACATTCCACCTCCTGAACTCCAGACTTCACGGTGGCCCTCACTGTGGTTGACTTAAGTTTCCAACAATAGTCGTCGAACATTTAGACTGAGCCATGTGTCTCTTAAACTGAATTTCTGTATAATAACAGTCACTAAATGTAGTGTTAACAGTCGACCAAATGCCCTGTTGGCGCTCCCCCATTTGGCCCCACACACCCGGAGGGCAAGGCTGCCGGGCTCCCAGCTCAGAGGGCACCGCAGCCCAGAGGCTCACACACCGGCGGGGTGTGCAGCCCTCAGCGGCCCGGCCGGGGTGCCTCCCTGCTGTGCTCCCCGTCCAGCTACAGCCCGCGCTCCTCTCCCTGCTGCCTTCTTGGCAGGACTCTGCCTGTGCTGGCCAGGCTCTTCGAGGAGCCTCACAGAGTGAGTCCATTCAAGTTTAAACTTGTTCTCTCTGCCCCAGAGGCCACTCTGAACCTGAACCAGGGCCCTCTCCAAGGTCAGCCTCACATGGGAGTCAGGCCACTTGTCCCAGTCTGATGGCCAGAGCTGAAGGACAGGGACCTCCTTCATTCTGGGAGCCTTGCAGAGTGCAGCAGTGTTTTTCATTAATAAATAAGCACATGCAAATAGCATTTATTTAACATTCAATCCTGCCAACTAGAGACTCCGGAAGGCCAGCTATGAAATATTCCAACTGTTGGAATAAGATGAAGCAACTTAATATACACCTTCAAGAGTCTGCATATTTCTCCAATTTCACATTTTAGATAAACACAACTTTCCTCCCTCTAATAAACTTAGTTGCTGATTTTACGGATCTAACATATTAACATTAGCAAACATTGTCCACTTATGTTTCTCCAATGCTCTTCTAAAGACACCCTTGACTCCAGCCAAAGCTTTTAAAAACAATGAAGTAAACTGTTTTGTATTTGCTCCAGAAGCAAATAAACTAGTAAGTCCATACTAATCACTGCTTTTCAAAACAACACTTAAAGGGTGATTCTTAACAGATTACCTTGAGCTGGAGGTAAAGTATGAATCATCACTGTCATCGCTATACTTTTTTCTTGGTTTGGCTGTGACTGGCGTTTCCTGTTCAATGGTTTGCATGTCTGAAGTCACTGAATGTGAAATACCACTTGAGAAAACAGAGAATAAAATGGAAAAAATTACATTGGCTAGTTCTTGAAGACACTCATGTTCACCAAAGAATGTTCAACAAAAATAAATTTATTGGTGGGGCTAAAAACATGAACAATAAAAGCTATATGCATAGATAGATGGATAGATATAAGCTCTGAAAAATACAGGACCTTCGTGAGGACTGTGATCATCACACAAAATACAGTCACGTGTGCCAGTTGTGTCTGTGGCATCCATTTAAGGACCAGTCAGACCTAATTCCTTGTTCCTAATGCCTCATGCTACATTGAATAGTAAAGCAGAACAACTGAAGAAAGGAAGGAATTATAAGAAAATACTTCTAAAGTTGACATTAACAAGGAAATCCATTCATGATGAGCAAACTGGTTTAAATTTGGAAATCCAAGAAAGGGTAGTCTCACCTACCTTCTGCGGTTTCCAAACCCCATGCCAAGTCTCTCTGATTCTATCTTTTTTTGGCCACTCATGTTCATCTTTTCATCTTTCTTCATCTGAATTTCAAGATCCTTATAAGCTAATCGTAATGATGAAACGCTGCCAGGAAAAACAAATGCTCCGTAATTTAGCTTTAATTCTGTGTTCTTAAGTTAAAAAACTAAGAAAAATTAAACACATCTCTTCTACTTTTAACTTCGTGCTTCTTTCCATAATTAATAATTATGATGGCAAGTTGGCTTTTTTTCCCCCTAAATGTCTTTTTGAGTACATGCTAAAGGGAATCTGAGTAAGTTTACAGCCACATTTTGGTTGCTGCTGAACCTACATTACTGTTCTGGTTTATAGTACCTGGTATCATGCAATCTTAGTTTACACTACCTATTATGTAATAACAGAAGGTATAGTGAAATTATTTCTAGTAAATAGCTGAATTTCTTACTTGGACGAATATTTTATTACACTCCTACAATACATATCAAAAGTATGAGGTCAGTCTCATTGTTTTGCCTTAAGACAAATATATATATAAATTTGACTTCACAACAAATAGATAAATGAAGAAGGGGTTACTTGATAGCAAAAGGATTCTTTAGTTTACAAGAACATTTCCTGTAGGCTCTTTATGGAAGCAGGCTTCTGAGCACACCCGAAGTGGCATGGTCATTCCCCAGCCAACAGTCTCGTCTGTTCTACCAGCCAGACACTGACCATCTACTTACCAAAAGCCTGTTACGGATAATGCACCAAAGGAGTAAAAAGATGTATAAAACCGTGTCTCATACTCTTAGATTTCCAAAAATGCTATAAATAATTTTTCATAAAGAAACTTACACCTGGTAGCGATATCAAGGGTATTTTATCATATTAGTAAGATAGCAACAAAATTTCAGGGCCCTGAAAAGTGATACACCTACCTTATCAGGATTTCTAAGTTAGCAGCTATTTTATACAATTATGTAAAATATCACAAATTTCTCATAAGAAGGTACTGAATAAATTCCATAACAATATTAACACATTTCTGTATAGTAACAGGGAATGACAATAGAATTTCTTACTAGAAAAAAATAGTCTTGATTTTGCTGTTTAATGAGTGTGCTGTTTAATTTAAGCCTTAATAGCCAGGCAGAATTTCTTTGTTTTGTTTTATTCTTATTTTGTTTTCCTTACTATTATTTTTATAGGAGAGGTTATGGTAATATACCCACTTCATTACTTAGAAAATTAATACTACAAGTACAATTTTTGGAGGAAAACAATCGGTCTGTTTAAAATCACAAATAGATTTAACTGTAGCAACAGATTCTTCTGGAGATGAATGGATGGGAATGGAAAAGTTCTAGTAGACTTGAGATGGGAAGATTTCCCTTCTTAGGACATCTGATGCGGGATTGGGTCTACTGCTCATCCAAAGCATGCGTGTGAGCACCCAGGCTTCCTGTAATGCGGCTCTGGAAGCACCAATGGAGATAGGAAGCCGGACGCCATGGTTCTCAGGGCCGCACAGCCTTTCCCAGCCCTGGCCAGGGGAGGGCTTGCACGGCGCTCCCGTCAAGCAAGGGTAGCTGCTCTGCCTCTTTCTACTCTTCCTGTGGGCTGTGTGCAGACGCCCCTGAGGACGGGCTGAGAAGCTGCCAGAAGGCAAGGATCAGGCTACCACATGGTTAGTTAGTTTCACAGTCTGACAATACAGGAAACAGCGCTGCTCCTGATAGTGCACTGAGCTGAGTAACTTTTACAGCCATTAAAAAAAAGTAATCGCTTCGTTACATCCTCAGGATGAAGCATGCACCCCCCACCCGTGGCACAGCACTGGGCTGGTGAAGCAGCGGTGAGGGGTCTGAGGCAGGGCAGTGGTTCAGGCACAGCAGTGCGGCTGTTCCAAACAAGGCCAAGAAAGTTGCCAAACTGAGCTCCCAAACAAAATTCCGAAAGTACCCCCTGATCAGCATCTCTGCTTTTATGCTGCTGATGTATTGAACAGTCCTAAAGAAAGCTACACGTCAAGACTGGTGTTGCTTCTGATAATACACTAATCTCCTTCCCTCCACCTGCTCTGCAGGAAGGAAGCTGGCAAGTTCCTTGTCCTTTGTTTTGATCAGGCAGGCACTGGACTGCACACTCGGTGGGAACCCGCCATGCGGGAGCACAGACCCCACTCCCCAAACCCTGCAGAAGCCATCTAAACACTTGGATTTAACCGTCCCCTTTTACCAAGCTCAAAAAGCTAGCTTAGTCTGAGAAATTAAAGGGAAGTCTGCCACAACTCAAAGTCAGTTTTATGAAAAGCATTTCAAACCATACTTAACCTAAACACAGTTCAGTGCTGCCCCCTATGTTCTGCGAGGTAAATGGCAATGAGAAATAAGAATTTCAAATTATCTGGGCTTGCTTACCAAGTCCCCTTGGCAAACCGTTAGGGTGAATAGTAAGACAGCACTGGCGGAGCGCTCCCCACGCGCCAGGCACTTCAGCACGCTAAGTTAATCCTCTCGAAACAACTCATCAAATCAGTACTGTTACCTTCTTCATTATGCATTCTGTGGTAACTCAAAACTGATCAAATACACATGAAAGCAAGCGAAAACGCCACACAAATACACACACACAAAACCCCAGAAATTCAAGTTGCCTCCCTTTCTATGGTGCAGCCACTCCCTTCTTGTCTCATCTTTTAAACCCAGCCACATGCACTTCCAGACGGCCAGATTCCTCTTTCGTTTTCAACACAAATGAAAACCTCTCAAGAGCCTTAAGTGTTCAACTAAATCCAGTCTCTAGATTGGCCTCCTGGTCCCAGTTTCTTCCCCTCCTTCCTCTCCTGGACGAGCTCACTTTCGGAGAGACGCCCCTTCATCACGGCGCTCCTCTGGATAGAATGTTAACCACCAGCCTGCCTTCAAGGTGGGCCGGGCCACGTTAGCACCTCAGTTCTCCAATCCAGGGGGTCCCCCTGTACAAAGGTCTTAATTCTCCCAAACTCTTTTTTCTCCCTCTCTTCTGTGCCAAGGCTGACTGAGGCCCTTTCAGGATCCAGACTCAAACCTCTGGAGAGATCACCACAGCCTTCCACCATATGTTTAGAACTCGGACCCCAAGTCTAACGGGGGTTCATATTATAAATACCTTTTTTGTTATTGAGATATAATCCACACATCATAAAATTCACCCTTTTAAAGTGTATAATTCATTGGTATTTAGTATATTTATCTATTAAATACCATCATGACTACCTAATTCCAGAACACGGTCATCACCCCAAAAAGAAACCCCACCCCCATTAGCAGCCATCCCCCATTCTCCCCTGCCCTTTCCCCCAGCCCCTAGCAACCACTAGTCTGCTCTCTGGCTCTATGGATTTGCCTATTTTGGACATTTCAATATATGGAATCATACAATAAGTGGTCTTTGTGACTGGCTTTCTTTCTTTGCATAAACTTTCCAAGATGTATCCACGTTGTAGCATGAAGCACTAATTCCTCCCTTTTTATGGCTGAATACTATTCCATTGTGTGGAGAGACCACATTTTGTTTATCCATTCGTCAGCTGATGGACATCTGGGTCATTTCTACTTTCTGGCTATAGGGCTTAAGGCTGCCATGACACTCTCATCAAGTTATTGTGTGGATGTGTGGATGCAAGTTTTAATTTCTCTGTGGAGTGGAATTGCTTGGTCCTATGATCACTTTATGTTTAACTTTCATGTCACCACTGGCAATGCATGTGGGTTCCAGTTTCTCTACGTTTTTGCCAACACTGGTCATCATGGGCCCTAGTGAGTACAACGGTCTCTCGCTGGGTTTGACGTGCCTTTCCCTAATTACTAATGGTGTTGAGCACATTTCATGGGTAAACACCTCCTGACACAGCTCTGCCTTCCCTTCTCACTGCCTTCCCAACTGTGCCCTCACCTCAGAGCTTCAACCTGAAATCAAAGCTGCTCCCCCTCACCACTTCTCTCTCTCCCATCCTGTCTGTGTGTCAACTGGTATTAGTTTTCATAAAACCAAATTTGCTTTGTCTTTCCCAGACACATATATAAAAATAAATGGCATCTGGAAAACCCATCTCAGAGTTGTTTAAGTTTTACTCCCTGAAAACTGAATTGTCGCAATTAAGGTGAACTTACATCGATTCTTCCTGAGGGGCCATGCGGGCCAGGTCTTCCTTTTCCTTCAGTTTATCGACAGCCTGGGCTTGCTTTTCAATTTCATTAAAGCATGTATTCGCCAGTTTCTGGGCTCCCAAACTTCCTTTTTTGGCCCCAAGCTAGAAGAGATGTAAAATTACATCCTACCCCAACTGAAGGCTTCTGCACAGCAGCTGACAGTTACGGAGGCTGGTTACCTGCCAGGCACGGTGACACACTAGACATTTGTTCTCTACTTGGTCCCCACAACTCTACGAGGTTGGCATTATGATTATCCCCAGTTTACGTACAAGGAACTGTAGCTCATGCAAGTTAAATGACTTGCCCAGGATCACAACCACTAAGTGACGAAGTCAGGATGGGAACCCTGGTGCCTGCCTCCAGGTCAGGGGCTCTAACGGATTCACAGTATCCGAAAGCTGCGCAGGTGATGACCCCCCAAGCCTCATGAGAGGCCAGTGCTTATGGACGAGCAAACATGATGGAAACTCCCAGGGAGCCTCTGTTGATATGTTTTTTAGCATTTTGTCGCTGACAGAAGAAATGTTAAACACTCCTTCTAGAAAATCTCACTAAATATATCATTTACCTCACTCAACAAAATATGGACCCTTTATCAAAACCACATATATATGATATGCCTCCAAATAAAACAGCAGAATGACAAAGGTGGCTTTCTTGAGGGCACGAGCTATTTTAGGGCAGACCTACCACATATTTGATATATAATACTCACCCCTCTTTTAGCTTGATTTGGTTTCTTTTTTATGATAGATGAAACCTCTGTCAAAAAATAAAATGTAGGTCAGACCAAGAGAATACATTCATTTTTCCATTTGTAGTCTATCTTTAAAAAAATTCTAACATGCTGTGTATGCCTATTCTGGAGACCATGGCATCTCCCAGGGCGCCATGCCATCCAGAGGACTCAAGCGTCCGAGTGCATTCGAGATGAATGAGCTCCATCAAAACGGAGCTTCTCAGTGTTTCCACATGGTATCTTAACTTAGAGAAAACATTTTTTGGTCACCACACTGAACAGAAATAAAAAGCCTGACCTTACCCCATTCATTGCTTTTTTCAGCAGTATTTTTTGCATATATTAGAACAAATGTTCCTATTAAGCTCTACTCTTCAAAGACTTTCAAAGTCATCTTAAATGTGAAGCTACTCAGGCATTATGCACACAGTGAGAGCTGTCGGTGACATGCTTTCCCACCTTGGCTTAGACATAGATTTTTATCATATTAGTCAATAAGAAATAGAAAACATTCTATTATTTTAGTAGCAGTACACTCTCAATTGCACAAAAAATATACGATGCTTTTAGATAAAGTTTCTTGAAATTCGTTTTCGGGGTAAACTTTAATCATAGATTACATATTGTTTTTAGAATTGTGTTTAAGAGACCAAGTAAGAATAGAATCTTTAATTTTTTCTTACAAAGATGAGCATGTACTTTAACAGAAAAGAGAGCATAAAACCATAAACAACAGAAGATTTTGCCCTGATGGGAGAATAATGTCATTACATTTCAAGTGTGAAATGATAGCCACAGAAATTTTTCTTTCCACCACTTTCTTTTAGATTTGTTTTGTGGTAGTTGTATAATCTGCTCCCAATCCCCTGAAGTCTATTAATCCATGATGAAAATGTCTGGGACATTTCTAATGCTTTATTTTTCACCAAATCACTTGTTTTCCAATTAACATAGTGTAATATGCACTGAATTTCAGATTATACTTCCCCTGTAATAAAAATTAAAGGTGAGGTTCATCTATTATAAAATCAGTAAGGGAAGAAAATGCTGAGAGTTCCTGAGTAAACAGGAGTGACGTGGCTGCTCTGACCTCTGCTGGGGACACAAACAGCCCAACATAAACCAGCCAATGGCGAGCACCCAGAGCCACCTTGGCCAGGTATGTAGGTGCCACATGTCACAGCCATCGAGCTAGCTAAAGCAGGTTAGCATTTTTTGCTTAATAAAATCTCTCTAATAGATTAATAGTCATGATGTCATATTCTTCTATATATTCTAGGAGAACGTAGACAGGATTCATTTTCTTCTTAATGAATCTCTCTCAATCAGAATGTAGTCTTATGCATGTTACCTAAAGCAGCCTTTGCTGGTACATTAAGACCTTCCACACTTGGTCCTGGTTCTGGTCCATCTGAAAGTTAAAAATACTGATATTAATACAGGAAATATACTCATCAAACATGTTTTTGAACGTGTAGTACACTTAGTTTGCTCAGTACTATGTAGCAAATTTTGTCCATGGTCATCTTTCTTTTTAAGCTCCATATTCTATGTTATCATTATAAGAATTTTAATTTAAAAGTCCATTAAATAGAAGTGTATTTTTTATCCAGTTGCTTTATAGAATAAAAATGTTAGTGGTCCCCCTAACAAATATTTGGATTCTGCCGTATGATCTGGTGTTTTAAAGTAAACTGTTCTGAGCTACCTAGCACATATGTTGACCATATATCCAATATATGTTAACATTTGTATAAGTTCTAATACCAATTATATCAATGATAGAAACCTAAATTTTCAGTTGCCAGAAACTGTTTTCTAGTTTACCTAAAAAATGATCCTGGTTATGAACATTATTATGTCTCTATTAAAAAATATTTTATTGATTTAATCTTATTTATTACTTAAAAAATGCATAAACAAATAGAGTATATCCATGTAGCAGAATACTATTTGGTCTTAAAAAGGTCTGGAATACTGACACATGCTACATACAATATGGATGAATCTTGAGAAAATACTAAGCACAAGAGGCCGGCCATAAAAAGTCCACATTCTATATGATTCCGTATATATGAGATGTCCAGAATGGCCACATCCTTAGAGACAGAAAGCAGACTGGTGGTTGCCAGGGGCTGGGGGAGAATGGGGAGTGGCTAATGTGGATGGGGTTTATGTTTGCGCTGCTGAAAATGTTCTGGAATTAGTGATGGTGTTTAGTGTATTAGGTGAACTGTACACTTTAAAGGGTTGAATTTCATGGTGTGTGAATTATACGCCAATAAAGCTGTTATAAGAAATGGCAGGCCAACCAGTTTAGATGAAACTCAACTGTTTTACATTCATAAATATTTAAAAGGTTGACTTTAATTAAGGCATTTAAGTAGGAGAGGCAGAGTGAGTCAGAACAATGGTATTTTGCAGAAACAGACCCAAGTGCACATCTGTTGATGACATGCCACGGGCCAGGACCTGCTCCGGGCTTTGAAGCCCTGGAGAATGAGAACATGTAAGTGGAGTATTTCGGGCCCCACACTCTATCTGTCACAATTCTTTTGTTCTTTCCTTGTCAAGTCTACTCAGTACTGCACCTTGTCACCCAATGCTGGTGACAGCACTGAGCAAATGTCTCTCTGACCAACAACTGCCTAAGAAAAACTCTGGGCAGGAGGAGAAGTGACTCAGCAAATACAGGAGGAATTCTAGACGGTAACACCTGTTAGGAGAAACTCTTTTTCAGCTGACAATGTAGATTTTAAAATATTTACAAGAATAAAATCTTGTTTTGTCCTATATTTTGTCACCTTAGTTTCCTGTTAGTAAAGCAAATGGATTCATCTACACTCAAGGGTTATGTGGACCTCCCGTGGCCTGTAACCTCAGAAGGCCTTTCACGCTAATGAGCTGTAGTAGTAACAATATTCAAATCATCTGTACAAAAGAAGGCACAAAGCCCACCCTTTCTCTGTGTTAGTCAGGAGAGTGTTGCAATTATTTTTTCTCTTCTCTCCTATGGATAATGACAAACTGATCAACAACACAGGTACATTCCTTGTCTTAAAAAATGAATCAATCTCTGGAGGAGCTCATAGCCCAGTGGAAGGGTCACACAATGGACAAGGTAAGGGACACAATAATTCCCAGCCTGAGGTATACTGGGCTGTGAGGAAGACAAATACATGAATGCGGGTGCGACCGGAGTGCACAGTGGCTGGCCATGGCCTCTCTGAGCAGAGGACTCCCGGTGGAGGCTCCAGTGTGGAGGCAGAGTCCCATTCCAAACCAAAGAGAAAGCAAACCCAGGGAAGAGCCCAAGGGCCAGGGTGGCTGCAGGTAGTGAAAGTCTGAGAAATCAAAAGGCTAAATGCCACCTAAAGATGTGTGAATGTCTTCTCTGCAGACATTTAGGGTCACACAAACAAAAAATGAAATGTGAACAAAAAAACCGCAGGTTGCAAATCATACATAAACCAGGCATGTCAGTGTTCTTTGCATATTAAGGAAACAAGCTTTTATCTATCTATGAATTGCAAATGCTTATCATTTGTCTTTAAAGTACTTCTTCAGAACAAAAATGTTACATTTCTTTTCCTTTCATGAGGCTTGAATACCCATAGAGGGGCTTCCCCACCCCTGATGATAGAAGAGCCTCCACAAAGAGCCTTCAACTTTTCATGGTTTACATTTAAATCTGAGACACCTGAATTCAGCTGGGTTTAAGTTCCCCAGGAATGCAAGACGTTCCTGTCCTGATTTGCTCCTAGGTCTGTTCCTAAACCAGTGACATGAAAAACTGGCACTCTGAGAGCTGTTCTTTGATGGAATCCCAGACGTTCCTGGCCTTAGACCTGTAATTCTGTACAAATGAAGGGACTTCTATTCTTTACAGCACAGAGCAGAGGGATTCCTCTTGGTAAGTACCATTCACTCTCCAAACTCCCATAAAATCCTTGCCACAAGGTTTCTGTCCCATCACCCCATCCTGAGGCTGAAGACTAGCTCTTCCTGTGACACAAAGTTCCTTAAAGTAGTTCCAGGCTCAACTTGCACAAGCCAGTGCTCACTGTGGTACACACCCCTCGATCCACTGTACAGCCATCAAACATTATGTTTTTGTTGTTATTTTTACACTAACAGTCTGGATAACGAGGTGTTCGTTTTTAAAACACAAAAAGGTGGTATCTTCATCCACATTATTCCTACCACGTAAGTGACTTTTTAAATATAAGAATCGACGTAAGTGTATTTACAATAAATATAATCCTACAATTTACCAAATGTGACTCATTAGATATCAATTATTTATAGAAGTTTTTCAAATTTAAATAGTTTTTCTGACTATAAAGATAACATATATTCATTATAAAAGTTTAGTCACTTCAAAACTATCAAGTATCAAGTTGCAAGTAAAACTCCCCAGTAATTTCATTCTCCAGTTAAGTTTGGTGGGTACCTTCTAGAATGTTTTTTGTGCATGTATGTTTTTGCCTCTGTTTTTTACAAAAATGAGATCATAGTCCATGTTCTATAATCTTTTCCCCTACTTTATAATCTACCATGGGTATCTTTCCCTATTAAATACAAGGAGGACATTATTTTCTAACAGTTTGACAGTGTGCCGCTGAACCACAGGATCACATTGTGTGACAGTTCTGAAGACTACTACCTTCAGCATTTGATAGAGAGGCTTCCATGTTCGCTGCTGTTAAAGAAGATGGGTCTGGTTGTGGCAGTGCCCACCCTGTGCCACTCACCTAAAGCAAGGGGAGAAAAATCATTAGCAGGCAAAGCAGAAAATCATAAAAAACAAACTAAAGCAGGGGAAAGCGTAATTTATAATTTAAATAGTCACCTTCTGACTACCTGGATTAGTGGGAAGGAAGGGTATTAAAACATGTTTATTCTTACAACTCCATTTCAATGATCAAATTCCTTATTTTTCCTCCTTTTTTAAAATAAAATTTTTATTACACAGTAATTTCAGATTCATACAAAAGTTGTATAGACACTAGTTTCCATGTACTCTTTGCCCAGCTTCCTCTAGGTTAAAATGCTCACGGCACATCTGTCAGATGAAGAGTTATCACGGGTATGTTATTAGCTAAACTCCAGACTTTACTCGGATTGCACCAATTTCTCCACTGACATCTCTTTTCCATCCCAGACCCCACACTGGGTTGGCCTGCCCCCTTCATCGCCCCTGGTTTGTAGCTTCCTCAATCTTTCCTTGTTGTCCATGACCTTGAAACTTGCAGAGGGTACAGATCAGGTATTTTACAGTTTCTCAGTGTGGGCTTGTCTGATTCTTTGTCACCATTAGACCAGGTTTGGGAGAAGAATACCACAGGGGTGAGGTGCCCTTCTCACTGCCTCTTGCCAACATGCCTGACGGTGATGCCAACCTCGATCCCCTGGCTAAGGTGGTGTCTGCAGGCTTTTCCTGCGAAGTTACCCTTTTCCCTTCTCCACCCTCCAATCGTGGGAAGCGAGTCACCACGTCCAGCTCACAGTCAAGATGGGGGGTTGAACTCCGTCCTGAAATGGGGAGTAGCGATATATGTGATTTGGAATTCTGCTCTAAGGAATATCGCCCCTTCTCCCCATTAATCTATTCAGTCATCTACTGATATCAGTGTGACTCATGTGTATTTATTTTATTCTTTGGATTATATCCAATACTGTCATTTATTTGGTTGTTCTAATTGCTCCAGCTCTGACCTTGGGAAGCTCTTTCGGGTAGGTTCTTGAGTCCTTTAGACAATCTCTCACCCATTTCCCACCGTTTCCCTACTTTCCAGCACTATAAGCCTCCAGACGCATCTGCCCCAGCAGGCCCACCCTAAAATCTGCCATTTCTAAAGGCTGAAATGGTGCCTTTACTGGAGAATAATACTTAGAAACCAAGACCTGGGTGCTGTATATATACAGTTGACCCTTGAACCACACAGGGGTTAGAAGTGCTGACTCCCTGTACCATCAAAAATCCATGCTTAACGTTTGACTCCCCAAAATGTAACTACCAATAGACTCACCAATAACATAAACAGTTAACACACATTTTGGATGTGATATGTATTATATACTACATTCTTACAATAAAGCAAGCCAGAGAAAAAATATTAAGAAAATCATAAGGAATAGAAAATACATTTACAGTGCTGTATTACATTTATTGAAAAAAATCTTTGATAAGTGGACCTATGCAGTTCAAACCCATGCTCTTCTGGGGTCAAATACATACACATGTCTGCATATATATATATATATGTGTGTGTGACACACACACACATATTAAGAGAGAGATACACATTAAAATAAAATAAACTCATTCTAATATCTCCAACTCTAATCCACACCAAACTGCTCATGTCTCTCCCCTTTTCAGCCCATCATTTCAATTCCTAATGTTTCTTGGTTACTAATCCTGGATGTTCCAGATCTAGGTCTCCATTAACCAACAGCAACAGATCACAATCAAACACTGTATCTTTTGTTTTCTGTTCCCCCTTTTTTGATAACTATTTCTAGTAACTATTAACTACATCAACGATAACACAAATGTGCAAATTCGAATAGAAAAAGAAAAAAAAAATCAAGGTTTAGAAATTTATACTTTACTTAATTTTTACATGAAAATTAGTCCAAGAATGGACTGAGTAGCAGTTAAGCAAACAGCGACCTACCCAGCGGGACTGGGAGGATACAACACAGCACCCAGAACGTGGGGGCCTCTAAGCCAGCAGTCGGCACACTTCCCCTTGAAGGACCAGTTAGTAAATGTTTTAAGGTCTGGAGGCCTTGTGGTCCCTATCGAAATGATTTGGGGAGGATCTGCGACGCGCCACAGTGTACTTCTGCTCCTGTACGACCACGGCGATGCAGGTAATGATACCGACAGATTTAATGATGGCTCACTCTGGGCCTGGTACTAATTAATTACTTTCACCTGTATGGATTCATTTCCTTCTTACAACAGCCTTGAGACATGGTCTATGCACAGAGCTCAACAGGGGCAATGAGACTCAAACCCCTTTTAAAATTTGGGTTTAAAAGAACTGTCTTCCTTCTTCATCAGCTGCAAAGCTCTGAGCTGAACTGCGCAGACTCCTAGTAATTTCTCAGCTTGCCTGGCAGCTGGGTCTGGGCACGCGACTAAATTCCAGCCAACAGGATTCCAGCAGAAGCGATGTGCACCACCTCTAGGTTTTTCTGTAGAAGGATGTGCACTTGCTTTCCTGGGTGTGTGTCTTCTTCCCATTGCCAGGAAAGGTCATGAACTGGAGCGTACACTTAGGACTCTGAGATGGAAGCCACATTTTGAGACCGGCAAAATAAATCCCTTAGTCAACCTGCACAGCCTACCTCTGAACTGCTGGTGGGAAATTAGTTTCTGTCTTGTTTAAATGACAGTATTTCAGGGTTGTTTGTTACAGCAGCATAGCCTGTATCCTAACTGAAACATTTTAAGTATATACCCTTTATCACTGTCAGAGTAACCGCACTTCAAAATTATGCAAAGCATGATACATACCTCGGGACAGGCATGAGAGGCAAAAAAGTCTTCCTCCTTTGGGACAGGGGCCAAGGGCGGAACCACACAACCATCAAGCCACAGCTAGAACAAACACATGGCACACTGCTCAGCATTGCACCTGGCTGCAAAGGGTTCGACCAAATATTCTTCACTCCCGTCCAGAGACCTGTTTGCTAAGGACTGGTACTTCCCATTGTTATAAAATCAGTGACAGGCCTACACAGGCCCCCTGAGCACACTGCAGCGATGTCTATCCAGTGACTCTTGCTTCCCTACCTCGAGGATGTCAACTACCAGATTCACAAGCCATTTCTCAACAGGAAAGATCAAGGATATTGTGGATTCCATACTTGCGAATTCGCCTACTCACCACAGCTTACTTATAACCCCGATCCATCCTCGAGGCCCTTCTGTGGTTCTTCACAGATGCACACAGAGCATGAAAAACATGAGTCACCAGAGGGGCACATTCCTGTCCCATGTGGTAAACAAGTATCCTTTCTGTGGCCTATTTAGTGACACATTTTTCACACTTTCTGCTTTTTGTTGGTGACTTCACTATTTAAAATGGAGCACGGTGCTGCTCCATCGCGTGAAGGCTGTGATGTGCCTTAGAAGAAAGTCCAGTATCAGGTAAGCTTCATCCAGGCCTGAGCTACAGTGATGGCGGCCACTGTCAGTGCTAATGAGTCAACAATATATAAGGTGTCTTAAGCAGTAACATATGTAAAACAGTGTTACGCACGGATCCGCAATGAAAACGTTGTGACCAGAAGCTCGTGGGGCCCTGAGCCTGTCCTGCCCCTGGGAATGATGCTCCAGCATCCACCGATTCATTTGTCCTACTGAAACGAGTTTTACCTGAAGGAGACGACCCACCCACCGGTGACTCACATCAGTGCCGTGCTTCCGTGTGGCTTGGGAGGCGAGTGACTTGATTCTCTCCCTGTAGAGCTGGGCAGCGCGGCTCTTGTACTTGGCGCTGGTGTCACTGGTGGTGCACCCGTGTTGGTGGAAAAAGGAAGACTACGGTGGGAAGTACACAATTAACAGCAGCACTGCATCAAAGCGAACATGGTGACTGAAAGTGTTACTTCTGCTAGGATTTTTTTGAAAATACTAGCGAAAACCAAAATAATTAAAACTACAAAAAAAATTTAAGTAAAGTTTTCCTTGTAAAAGGGAATACCTTCCACAGATGTAGCATTAATATTTTGGTAAAACTGGACCCAAGACCTATGTTACAAAATGAGATAACTGGCCCTTCATTTCTCTGTTAAACCACCTCCGTCACTCTGAATGCTATTTTGGGGGATGCCTTCCACTCAGGACTACTGTGAATTCATGAGTAATCCCTGTCAATTTGGATTCCACTAAACTGAAGTATGTGAACCTTCACTTTGTTCAGCACAATTTCTTCATCAATAGACTGCCACATAGGCGAGGTGATAAAACAAACGTTTAAACAATTAAGAGGAAACTGCCTTCAACCACCTCCTAAGGGTCACGTACCAACATGAATTATAGAGTTCATATCTCAATTAAAGCAGGTATTCTAAAAACCTGTGTGAGAAATCCTTTTGTGAACCCAATTTGATTAATAGTGGTACAATGTCCTGTTCCAGATTCTTGGGACATCATCCCTTTGAATCTTTGCAGCAGCACTATCAGATGGTCCCGGTTACTACCTGTACTTTACAGATGGGCACACAGAGGCACAGAGGGGTTCCATAGCTGGGGAATGTCACACAGGTAAGGGAGGGGCGGAGCCGGCATTCAGACCCAAGCACAACGGTTTCAGCTCCACTGCCTGAGTCAAAGACCACCGCTCCGGCCCTTCCCCACCCCAGCCCCGACCTCTGCTAGCTCAAGAGAAGCCCCGGCTCTGGAGTTGGATGGGGGACTCTGTTACCTTGGGAAGGCTTATTTATGAGCACAGATTATTTCAAGCCCATACGTTAAGTTTAGGAACGAGTGTGTGAACATGATAATGCATAATGCACATGGGTCCCACTAAGACTCACATACTTAAGGCATGCATTCTTAGGAGGGTGAAAATCCTTTCTTGGAAAGTGAAAAAAATCTTAGTCATCACAACGGTTTTGTGGCCATCCAAAGCTCACCTCTACCTGACAAAATCATTTTCCTTAGAATTTATCTTACCAGGGAAAAATGATATCCAATTTAAATTTAAAATGATCTGAGTAATTAATTTAAATTTAAATTTTCTGCTTAGAAAACAACTATGAAAAAAGGTTGAGAAACATTGATCCAAGAGAATTTGGTGTTTTGAAAACTATTTTAGATTTATGATTTTTAAATATTGAATAGATGCTAGACATAATTTTTATTTGAAATGTACACAAATTTGATTTCTTGTACTTGGAATGATTAACAGCATATCTAAGGGAATTCTCTTTCCTCAACCTATACATTTTTGCATTGTAAAATAGACTATCAGTGCTTCAGATGACTTCACCAGCTAGTTTGTGAGGCTGCTAATTTAGTGTTTGAGAAGTCAGATATGTTGAATTTGTAAGTCAAGTTTAAAATGTTTGAGGATCTTTAGTTAAGTTTGTAAATGGGATTGGGTAAATCTGCTCTTTTAAAATGATAAATTAATTGAATACTTAAAAAGTTGTTACACAAAAATTACTATGTTTATATAAGTTACTATGTGATATCTGTATGTTGTATTTGAGGATTTGGAGAACAGGTTTTTAATTTACAGGTTTAATGAATTAAATAAAATTCAGATGTAAGCAGCTATAAACATTGTATCCTAAGCACAAAAGTCACACTCAGATACTGAAAACCTGTATCATCATAAAGAACCTGCCAGGATACAAAATTAATACACAGTAATCTGTGGCATTCCTATACACTAACAATGAACTAGCAGAAAGAGAAATCAGGAAAACAATTCCATTCACAATTGCATCAAAAAGAATAAAATACCTAGGAATAAACCTAACCAAGGAAGTGAAAGATCTATACTCTAAAAACTACAAGACACTCATGAGAGAAATTAAAGAAGTTACCAATAAATGGAAACACATCCCGTGCTCACGGATAGGAAGAATTAATATTGTCAAAATGGCCATCCTGCCTAAAGTAATCAATTGATTCAATGCAATTCCTATCAAAATACCAACAGCATTCTTCAACGAACTAGAGAAAATTGTCCTAAAATTCATATGGAACCACAAAAGACCTCGAATAGCCAAAGCAATCCTGAAAGGGAAGAATAAAGCTGGGGGGATTATGCTCCTCAACTTCAAGCTCTACTCAAAGCCACAGTAATCAAGACAATTTGGTACTGGCACAAGAACAGACCCATAGACCCATGGAACAGACAAGAAAGGCCTGATATAAACCCAACCATATATGGTCAATTAATATATGATAAAGGAGCCATGGACATACAATGGGGAAATGACAGCCTCTTCAACAGCTGGTGTTGGCAAAACTGGACAGCTACATGCAAGAGAATGAAACTGGATTAGTGTTTAACCCCATACACAAAAGTAAACTTGAAATGGATTAAAGGCTTGAATGTAAGTCATGAAACCATAAAACTCTTAGAAGACAACATAGGCA